GGCTGCCGTGACGTCACCGCCCGCGGCTCGGCGCTGACGTCACCGCGCGCCCCCGAAAGGCGCGCCCGGGGCTGGAGGAGCCCGCCGCGAGCCGGGCACACGGAGCGCGGCGGGGACACGGGCCCGGCTCCCCGGCCGCGCTCCCCGCGCGTGCGGCCGCACACACAGCACGCACCTGCTGCACGGGATGGCAGCGGCTGCCGCGCCAGGCCGGGCACGCAGCGCGGCCAGCGCCAGGGCTGGTCYGCGGCCTCTCTCGTCCAGGCCGTCCCAGGGCACCGTGCAACACGTTTCTTCCGTGTGTTCACCCCTGTCCTGCTTTCTGCCCAAGGGTCTTGGTTAGCGTAGTGTATCCGCAGCGTTAGGCTGTTGCACYGAAGGAGAGAGGAGGCCGGTGCCGGTGCCGCTGCCTGAACCCTCCATGACCTCGTTGCGCATCCTGAAGCCTCTTTGGGTGGCAAAGGCAGCACGCGCGTGCCCGGAGGCAGCCACGGCGAGAGCCCGCGCCTCGGGGCTCACGCTCCTTGTGGGGTGAGCCACGCGGTGGCTCATCTGCCAAAGCCAAGGGGTGGGGATGGGAGCCTTGCGCCGGGCCGGCACGTCCCTTCCTCGGCCCCCGCTCACGGGCCACGTGGCCTTTTTCCTCCTTAAGCGTAATGTGAAGGAAGAGGGCAGGTTTTCCCTCGGCCTGGAGCTGGGCAGAGCGGGATTGTCACTGCAGCACACTCTGGCAGGTGCGCAGAAAGCCATGGGTGAAGCGGAGATATTAAAATATCCCCTCTTAAGACAAATTCGAGAGTAACTGACTCAGGGCTGTGTCTGTCCTCTGCTGCAAGGGCTTAGGAGCACTGCAGAGTTTCTAGCTCTGGGCAAGTGCCCACACAGCAGCTGAGCAGTGGCTTTAGCTCATTACAGCAAAGCTCATGGGCTTGCAAAGCGTCTTCCCCAGACTAATATCCAGCAGGAATCTTTCCCCCAAGTCAACGAACTCATGGGCTTGATTAGGTTCACACTGAGGTTATCAACGAGGGYTGGGCAAGACCAAGTGGCTGAAATCTTCAAAGGCCATGAAGCACCCATTGAAGTCTTTTAAGCCCTGCAGAACTCGTTCCTTGGGCCCAAAATGGGTCATTTTTACAGAGGTGAAGAGCCACCCTGGTATGTTCTGCACTGGGTTACAGAGGAGAGGAAAGACCAGTTGGACTTCTGTGTGTTCAACCACCAAAATGTCTGAGAAGTCTCCACAGAACAGGATTTCCACAGATGTGGAAAGGGCTTTATTGTCAAACTTTAAAAAGCCTGAACCTGGCTGCAAAACACCAATGGCTCAAAACCACCCAAATTATACAGCTCAGGGCCATGTCGCTTCCTTGTAACTTTGAAGTCCTAGAACAGGATTCTCCTACTCCCCATTGCTTCTCGGCTCTGCCGAGAATGGACTTTCTTCATCGGAAATTAAAGAATGCTCTCCTACCTAATTGTGTGATTCCAGGAACTGACTCCAAGAAAAACATGCAACTAATGCAAGAGTCATGGCACAGTCACGAGAGCCAGCAACAGTGTCACCTAGCCCTGACATGTTGGAGGCTCTTTAAGGAAGATGGTGATCGTCTCCTTTAAGGCTGCCGTGAAAAGTTTTTATGCGAGGGATTGATGAAATCAGTAAAGTCCTCCTCAGCCTATTTTGTGCATAGTCTTTCAGGTGCTTAAAGCCTGGCACTTCCCTAGATAAAGAAGCCTCCTTTCCCTGATTAGTGTCTCAAGCAATCTCAGACTTTGAGCGGTAATTWCGTTCTCGACCACCTCCCCGCCCTTGTTGACAAAGCCACCTGGGACGCTCCAAGTMAAGGTGGCCCCATTTCCACAAGAATAAAGTCTCACCTTCCCTGACACAGCTCTTGGACAACACCTTTGGCAGCAGCCTAGTGATGTGCCCTTGCTGCCATGCCACGTGCAGGAAGGACGTGCAAGTCGGCTTTGAACCCGGGCTGCTCCCCACAGGCTCTGCGGGACAGCACCTGTGACTGGTAGCAGGGAACCTCCTCGTAGCCACGACCGGTAGCCGATGGCTGCCGACTCCGAGAGAGAGGCCTCCTTATGGCCAGTCGAGAGGTGCTTTTCAAGCCCTAAAACCCTGTAATAACAAATGTAAATTAAATAAATAAATAAATAAWTAAATGCAAAATGTAAAAGCAAACCCAGGGTGCGTTCTAGGGATGTGAGGAATGCATCGACATACTCGGTGTCTGCAGAAACAGCAGGGCAGTTCCAGCCCCTTTCTGCTATTCACTGTCTGCTGATTCATGCCTGCTGGAAAGGACAGCATCAGCTCTCCGGTCGTCATTTTTGGAAGGAGGTGAGGGGGAGTAGTAGGGATAATGCTGTGTTTGGTATGTCAGGGTTGGGTATGTTTCACCCATACATTTAAGATGTACTCGAAGTCTCTCCTTATAAATCATCGCCMCTACCCAGGATGCACAGAGCAGATGTTTTCCACTCCAACTCACCTGTGCAGCTTCCAGAAGCAGATCGGAGGAGGCTACACCACCCAAATTTGCCACATCATCATCTGGCAACTGCGTTAATTGCAGTGCTTGGAAGTGAGAATACCACCTGGGTGACAATGGAGCAAGTGGCTCTTTCCGGGGCAGGAGGCCTGCAGCAGAAGCAAGTGTCCAGGGGTGAAGGACTGGTGCCCATGTGTGGGGTTCACTGAGCCACGTCATCTCCATCACCTCCGTCGAGCGAGACAACCGGTCAAGGGGCAGTGGGATGTGACTGCTGAGTCCACATTCCTCCTGCAGCTCCTCCTGCAGTCTCCCTTAGTTGTCTGGAATAAAACAAAGCAAAATCTACGTAGAAAGACTTACAACTGCAGCGGCTGCTGCTGTTCCCTCACATCCACGACCATTTCACCACTGTGCCCATACCCTCACCACAGCAGGGCAGAAGGGGTTTTCAGCATACCCAAGTGAAGGTGCAAGAGAAGGCTTGGACCGCATCCAGGACGCTGCTGAATTAATCCTCCTGCACTGCTGGTTAATTCCACTCCCACCAAATTCCAGACAAAATCCTATTTGGAGTCAACCTCAGGTCACCCGCCTGGTGGAAACCCCGCGAGGAGGGGGCACTGCAAGAGGTTCAGCACGGTTGGACTGCAGGGCTGGAAAAGGAGGCTGAGGGAAATATTCGGAGCAGGAACCAACCAGACCTGTTCCTGGCCAGCCTTGGGAAGGGCGCTTGCCAGGCCAAATGCCTCTTGTGCACGTCCATCCCCAGGAGAGCTGCGTGCTTTCCAAATCAYTGCATCCCGTGTGTAACTCTGCCTCCAGCGGCCCCTGCACTGGGCTGGGCGCCAGCCCTTCAGGCCCCACAGCCCTTTCTGCTCCCCTTCCTGTGCTCTGGAGGGAGCTGCCAGCGCTTGGCAGCTTCCCTGCTGGCTCCTCTGCTTCCACGGAACGCGCTAATGAGGGCCTCGGTGCTGCGGAGGCCCTCGTGCTATGCGGGACACACGCAGGTTTGGAGCAGAGGCAGCTTTTGAAGCAGAGCCCCCCGCTGAGCAGGCAGGCGTTCAAGCTGGGCAATGCCCGGGGCCGGTGCCCCCTGCCAGAGCGGGACAGACGGCAGCCCCAGGACACAAAGAAGAGTCCTGCTCCAGGTGGTGTGCTTAGCTGCTGCCTTGGGAAGGTCCCCATTGCCCAAGCTGGGAGTTTCGCTGGGGTTGAGCATGTCTACGGGCTTTCAAAACCTTCGCAGCGCAGTTGCACTCTGCCAGTTGAGCTGGGAAGGGCTGCACCAACGTCGCGGCAGAAAGTCAGTGCCAGAAGTGAAGTAACATAGGTTTGCAAATGAGGAAACGAGAGCCTTCATCAAGATGATTACTGGCAGGGTTAGGATGGAGGAACAAGGCAGCAGTTTGCTGTGTCACTTGCCGGTGAGTTGTGGCAATGTTCCCACTGCTCGAGCACTTTCTCTAAGGGAAGCCAGTCCTTAAGCCAAGGCAGCACAGATCCATTTTCCTAACGCGAAATGCATCCTGAGGCACTTCCAGCGATAGATGCTGACAGCTGCTAGTAGATCACTGCCCTCAAACACAGGACTCGGACAGCAAAACAGCTGCAGGGCGAGGAAGGCAGTGGCGTGGATGCTCTTCTGTTTTTGCTTAACGAGAGCACGCAGAAGCCAGGGCCATTTCGCTTCGGCCCTTCGGACAGCGAGCGCCCCAGTGCGCTGCCCTGGGGCTGCGAGGTGCTGACTCGCAGCGTGGCCGAGGACAGTGTCCCCACTCGCAGCGCTGGGGACACCTCCTGCTGCGCCCAGCATCGCGGGCTGCAGCAAAAMAGCTCCCACGAGAGCGTGTCAGGTCTTCCTCTGAGCTGAGATGCCTGTGTTGAAGGAAGGGGAAACACCAGCAGCAGCTCAGCGCAGCGTTAATGCCTTCATCCAACACCTGCGTCTGTTCTGGGGAGGGCTCAGGAAGCACACGCGGTGCCTCCATTCTCTGCTCTTACCTCTAGCGACAGCATGTGGCTCCTGCCCGCGTGCCCCCACATGCATCCTTTAGCAGCACGACGTCCCCTTACAGAGCTCTGGTACCTTCCACGCGTTCACCAGGACTTCGTGGTTCCGGACACACTCCAGGCAGCGGCCAGAGAAGAAAGGAAACAACAAGGTTTAGGAAAGTTCCACTGACAAGTCACGGTTTCCAGAGAAGAACATTTGCCCCTAGATGATCAGAGCTATTGGCAGAACAGCAAACATCTAGGAGCTTAATTGAGAGACCTGAAACCCAACTTAGGCTCTCAAGAATTTAATTCCAAGCCAATTGTTTAACCCAAGAGCTGTATCTTTCCAAATGCTTTAAACCATGATTTTTTAAAACCTGTTTTAAATAAACATATGCAAGAGTAATTTGTTTTCCCCYATCAAGATCATGTAGTGCATTTCTGCAATGATTAAGCTGTGCTGTTTTTCTGGTTTTGCTTTTATCAATAGTCAGCTTAAACAATGAGGAAATTCTAATAATGTATCATTATAATCAAGGCAACTCTAATGGGATTTCATGGGCTGTGGTTGGCATCCCAAGTACAGCATCAGAAAGAAAGGGGACAGATCTCCAGGACACCTTCAGAAWCAGCAACCATTTGGATAATTATAAAACTCCATTTTATAAAGAACAGGAAACAAGATTAATTTATAAATCAGTTTATTTACAGATTTTATTCTCTTAAAGTACATTTCAGTTACCAAAGATATTTACACTGGTGTACACAGGGACCACCCTGGTTATTTTACAGTTCTTAATTACAAAAACCCTTCCTCATCCTTGGGTCTGTCTACTGTGCAAAGCTGCTCTGCATGTGAACATTAGCTGAAACTGGCCCAAAAACCAAGTTACCAGGTTATTTACACATACACAGTAAACAGGCTTCTTTTGATATCTCCACAATACAGTACACAGGGAGACGGAGCCTCCCAAAAGGCGGCTTTGCAAACGTGTATCAAAAGGCTCTGCAAAGTCAAGGAAAAAAACCCCAAAACTATTAAATGCAGGTTAATTACAGTATTCCTCTTTCATCTGTATATATTTTTGCACTTAATGCTTAAATTACAAATAAGTTTGATAGTTTGCTTTTCTCCATTTTAGTTGATTTGTAAACACTTCAGATGCACTAAATACCTTGTAAGGTTCAACTGTTCTCTCTGCTCAGAAGTATTTTGTTTTCCTCATCTGAAGGTAGCAAAGGGATATGAAAATCCGAACCGTACTCAGTTYCTTGCAGAATAGTTACTTAAAAGGTCTCTATCACTGTGCTACTGAAGATCTTCTGCAGGTACRCGCTTATTCAAGTATTGCGAAAAGCTAAGGCCACTTTTTCAAGAAAGGAAAGTGAATGAGATAGGATTTTGCAATCGGTCATCAGACCTTGCGAGGAACAAGCCTTTTCTGAAAGTCTGTCTATACTACAGCTTAACTCGGGAAGCATCCGCCGGGAGAGGGGTACCGCGCTCTCCATCCGATAGCTAAGGTAACCAGGACCCAGCGATAGGATTTTGTCCTTACATGGCAAGGCTGGGAGGACATACAGAATTCAGTCTCTGTGTGTAATTCTCCAGCCTTCCCTKTGTCTCTCTGTCACCACCTTTGGCCTAGGCAAACCACTGCTCCGGCTCGGTCATTGCCAGCCCTAGCACCCCAAGTAACCCAAGGAGGGACCGAAATGGTCAACCTGTAGACGTTAAAAGTCTTTTCTAGGGTTGCRTCGATCAGGAATTGCTACTGAAAGTAAACAGTAACGTATGCAAAGGAATAAAATCATTCCCTAGGCACGATTTCCTTCTGCCCAAAGAGCAGTAAAGAGAGCTACCTTTTCTGCTGAAGGCGCTGAAGTACTGTTGCAAATCAGCCAGACAACAGGCCTGTGATCTCCAAGGGTCCCCGGTACCTCCGCAGGCCAACTAGACAACCTTCCCCGGTCGGTGTCCACACCAAAACCCACCATGCCAGCCCTGCAGAGCAGCCAAGAGGCCTCAAGGACGCAGGGCACGTCTGTGTCTCTGTACTGGCCGTGCTATCAGGGAACGGAAACAAACTCGGCATTTCTGGGATACTTAAGCTGCAAACCTCCAYGGCAGATTTCTGCTCTCTTTTCCATAATTGCTATCTATAAAAATAGCAATCATCTCTGTTGAAAAATACATGAAAGGGAATCTGAGGCAGTGATGCATTTAGCGACAGCAATGCCAGCTAAAATGCAGCAGCTTTAGTTCAGCTTCTGTCCTAAGAATTTAACAATTCCACAGTTGGGCATCATGACGCTTCACAAGGACAAACCGAATCACTTAAGGAAAAAAGAAGGAATGATGCTGCACCAAAAGACACGCCGACCTCGTCAGAGGTGTTGCTCTACCCCGTTACCTCCTCCTTGGTCTCTCACTTGCTACGCTCTCGCGGATGTCGCTCACCATTAACTCACAGCAGAGCTGTTGAYGATACGGCACCTGAGAGCTTGCTTGGATCTCGGGCAAATCCAGCGTTTCCCAGCGCTGCCCCCAAAGAATCACCAGCTATGTGTCACTGTGCAAAACACAAATATTCCAATGGCAGCTTTCCAAAATAAAAGGTGGAAAACAGAGAACAAAATGAAGAAGTAGCAGAGGTATGCCTAGCAGGAAGCCCCAAAACAATCGGATGAAAGAAACGATAGGGATCTTCCCACCATGCCTATCATGGGCTAATACAACATCCTTGGGGTGCTTCCAAGCAGGCTTCAGGGTGCCCCTTTACACTCCAGCTTGTCTGGAGAATCTGACACCCCTCTGGGTCTTGTCCGAGTTAGCAATTGAGATACACACTATTACTGCAACATCATTTGATGCCAGATTGTCTGTGTCAGCCAAGAAAACACATGGATGGGAGGGACAGCTCAGTGAAGAGCACTCTGCAGGAGGACACTGCAGTTGAAGCCAGCACCGAACAGACCTGCCTACAGCCCAGGAGTTCTGGGAGAACAAGGGAACAGTTGGAAGAGGGAAGCTTCAGGTCTTTTCTTCCACTCAATCCGTTCAATTCTCCCCTCACTCTGAGTCAGCTCAGAAGAGGCTTCGTTCTTAAGTCCTGCTTTTGCTTCCCACCCTCAGGAAGCTGGAGTTTTTGTGTGAAGAACACAGGCTCCACAAGTCACCAGAACAGAAGCATTCTCAAGTCCTGCTCTCTCTGCACAGGACACTCTCCTATGTCCCACTTAATAAATTATCTGAAAATAAATTAAAGAAAGAAACAAAGAAAAAAGCCCACAAGCACAAACCACGCAGACCGTCAAGCACTGCACACCGCTTTCTTTGGTGAATACACTTTTTTCCCCCCCAAAATTGTTCAAGGAACAGCTTCTCCATTTAATAGGTGACAGTAAGGAAGGAAGCAGAGGGAAAGAAGGCCAATTTTGTTTTTGAAAAACATATTTTCCACTCCTCCATGTCTCGTGCCTGAGAGAATCCTGAGTATCCACTATCTAGGAGCAGCTGGCACTCTAGGAGGTGAAGTGCTACAGGAGAGCAGTTAAGCTGTCCACAGGCTCATCTTCTACCCTTGACGTTAGGTGGCTTTTATCTTGCTCCACCTCTGGACTGTAGCAAGTTATGTAGGAAAAAAAAAACAGTAAGAATTCTTTACTTGAATGCAGAAAGCAACATCACTTACTTCTCCTGGATTAACTGGCGCCGTTATTTGGTACCACATCACAGGAAGAAAGATGGAAAACCGCTTTGGAGAAAAAATTAAATAGGCTCTGTAGCAGAAGACACTGATGCACATTGCCAGGGCCGCAGGAGAAGTGTTAAAGACTATAACACTGTTTAGTGTGGTAAGGAGCCATTTATGACTAAAACCTGACCAAACCATTTCTTCTCCAAATGACTCATATTTCTAAAGACAACTTGAGCACTGATGGCTGATGGCCATTCCAGCCAAACAGCCTATATCTCAACGTAACCCAGCCCTTTCAGGGCACAAAACTGAACGTCGAAGCCCTGGGCAGGGGCCTTGGACAACTGCAGACAGCTCTGCAGCTCACTGCATCGGCATGAGAGCARTTCGAGCTCTCCACAACGCAGCCTCAAGTGAGGCATCAGCTTGTTTCCAAAAGTAAATCCAGTGCAAGGTCTCTAGCAGCAGAGGATGTAAATTCAGATTCCTTTAATCACATCTCAACTGCTTTTAAAACCCATGCAGAGAAGTCCAGCAGCAGTGCTTGCAAGGCAGAGAGAATGTCAGGAGTCAGAAAYGCCCGTGACGCAGGTTACACAGCTTCTAGTTTTATTTTCAGCGTTGTCACACAAGTAGTAATCTCCTCTGCTTCTCATTTATCTGGTTCAGTACATCAACAGTGTCTTTGATTAAGGCCTCGAAGATCCCATCTGCCAACTGCATCTTTACACACAGTTCATCCTCGTCGTAATTCACCCACTGTGCTTCTTCCTCATGAAGTTCCTGCACCTTGGAGGGTAGAAAGGAAAAGACAAAACATAAACAAATGTTACAATTCGGTTGCTCTAACATAACGTCCCCAGGAAAAGTTCTAGGAAGAGTCCAAAACAGTCTGGATCTGCTAACAACACAACTGTTTTCATAAAAGGTTGCAGGAAATGCTTTGAATATCAAAACATAGATCTATTAGAGGCAGGTTGCTGCACTGTATGAATATTTCCTACTTASCATCATACCGTTATTTTTAAAGGAGTTCCTATTCCTGCAAAAGATTTTACTTGGAAGAACTCAAGTACTGGGATATAATGAATCATTCCTGACGAACATAATGAACTCCATTAAAAAAGAATACTCGGCAAAACTTTTAATAGCATTTTCGCAAGAATCTTGTTATACTGGGGCATATTTGCAAGAAGCAACTTCAAATGGCTTTTGTACAACAGCATTATAACTCATTTGTATAAAATATACCATGCTTCCCTGGATTTGAGGGCATTATTGCAAAGTGAACTTTGTGCTGATTACTGCTGAAACAACAACACAGGTATTTATTTCCTTCTATTCCCAAAATGCTCCCTGTTTCACTGGTTGCTAGCAATCAGATTCCAATTCCGGTAACAGGCCGGAATACATCATTCATTCAGCAAATAAAGACTTATCAGGCTTTTCTCCAAATCRCATACTCTCCATTTAAACCTAGCGCTGAAATTTTGTTTAGTGGCCACTTCACTTTTACAGATTCTTTCCAASGCTCAAACTTTCTCAAAAGAAGAAAACAGAGGCACAAACCCCACTTGCATTTAAAATACCAGAGAAGATCTGCAGGAAACTGTTCTATTGCTCAGCTACCTCTGTCCATAAATCCCACATGCTGAGCTCCAAAAGAGTCCAAAAGCTACAGCTCCAATATGCTCTTCCTCCCTTTAGTCTGAGGCTCAAGTGCTCAGAAATGTGAGCACTTCTTAAGGGTGACAGCTATAGCTGCAGAATGATGATTCAATAACACCAGCACCGTTGTGTAGGCTCAAGACCATGAGAACCCTATGGGAACTGGCACCGCTTCCAAGACTTTCATATGGCCTCAGTTACACTGAGCTCTCCATCGCACACCTTCTTTCCCTTTCTGTTAAGAGACTTTGGGGAAAGGGGCTGGAAACCTTGTTTGCGAGCAGCTTTGGAAGAGCCCCAGTATGTGCTTGCAGTGTTCTGCRTTATGTAAGAAAGGCAAATGATGCAAACATTCCTCTGGCCCCAGCCCTCACTTCCCATGCTGCTGTCAAAGATGARGCGTAATGGTTGCACTACGCATTKAGAAGAAAGAAACAACAATACTAGTGATGAAAACTGAATGTGCATCCTAGAGGAAAAAGAAKAATAATAAAAAAAAGCTTAAAATGTGAAAGCTAACAGGCAGCAGATACATGGGCACGYGTGTGTGGACATGAATGCCCAAAACAGAAAGTCTGAACTCTTTAAGGAAAAGAGCTACTTGCTCCTTTGCCCTGCTACTTGCTAGCTGCATCCAGTACAGGCTGGTTGCAAATTCTGATAGTGTCTGATCTAAGCAAGTGCGGCATGTCCCAAATTCTGGAAAGAAGAGACTGTGCTGAAAAGAAAGGGTCTCGAAAAGAAGCAGCAGTTGTGGAAAGAAGAGAGTCTGAAAAGAAAAAGTGAAGATTCTCTCTTAGGGTAAGATCCTGGAGACCAGGGAGATGGATGGAGACAAATGCTGGGGGACACCCAGGGACCCTGAGTAGTGATGCCTGAGACTGGTAGCTGCAAGGAGCTGCAAAGGACAAGCCAACATGACATTCTGCCCGACCTTCTCGAGCCAGCAGCAATCTCCATGCTTAGAAGGCAAGCAGAGACYGAGTGAATGCAAGCAAGAGAATGAAATAATCAAGTAGAGCCAGAAAGCTCTGRTATTTGTGGTTCTTCAGTGACCTCCAATGTCCACATCCCCTAGGAGTTGATTCTTTTATCTCACCTGTGACAACTTGGTAAGACAGTTCCTTTCCTCTGCTTAGGAAGGAAAAGATACACGACGAAATACAAGAAAAGGGAGAGGACAAAGTAACTTCATCAAGACAGAGAAAAGTTGGATGTTGGGACAGCAGTAGAAAGAGCAAGGGAGAAAAATATATATCTATTAGTGATTAATTTTCTCTTGCCTCTATCATTCATCTGTCCTACTCTGAGAGACAGACCACAGTTTCCTTTGGCACAAACAAGGACATCTTTGACCATACTTCTGAAAAACTAAAAGAACGCGCAATTTTAGCTGCAGGCAAGTCTTGCTAAGAGTGGATATTCAAAGCGAGTGTGGAAACCATCATGCTGCTTTTGTAGCCCCAGCTGCAGACATCTGAGCTGAGGCCCTTGCAACTACTTTGGGCAACATTTGATATTATTACCATAAAACACAAGCAAGGGAGACACAGTTCGCCTGCATTTGGTGAACATACTGTCTTACATGGAAGTGGGCTTGGCATTGCTTTCAGCACATTCACAATATTTCAGCTCTTGCACATTCTCATGACAAAAACAAAASTGTATGTAGTTGATATCAGGAAGCAAGTTACATTTAAGGAGTCATGTGGGAGGCTGAAAGTAATTAAAATCCAGAAGCAAATCACTGCCCTGGAAGAAGGCCCACAACAAGGGACTAAAGTCCATTTTTACCAGGACTTAACTCTCGGAATATCTGGAAAAATTAAGATGCACTGCCGTGCATATGAGCAGGCTTTGTTTCTTTTGGGTTTAGGTCTGGAAGCCCTCTTCTGTAGCTCCCAAATTAAAGCCAGTCTTGCAGTAGACAGCTTTGCAGGGTTCAGACGGCACAGAAATGTTTTATCCCTTAAATCCAAGGGTCAGAGCGTGAGATACATTTCAGCAGTCTTTCAGCAGGCTTCTCAAACGGGAGGCACAGGGGGGAGAGAAAACACTCTTGCTAGTACCTGAATCTAAAGGAGACAGGAGGGGGTTCCCTTRTAGTTTAAAGAGGTTCTGAAAGGGGAACACAGCAATGACATACCCCAAATGCAGCACCTCAACTGGTGTGCACATGTGAGATTTTCTCACGAAGCAGAGACAGAATACACAAGATAAAGGTAACACCACTAAAGAAAGAAGAACACACAGGAAGAAAAAAGAAGTAAACATCTAAATGTTTTAAAATTTATTTCAGGCATTTCACAAATGTGAATATCCTACACATGTGTGCTGAAAGCCAAGATTTGCTGAAAATGTTAAGAATAGCTGGAGCAGCTATCCGACTGATCATAGAGCTTCTGTTAAAAAATTCCTTTATAAAGGCTTTCTGAGGAGAATGACGTCTGATCCAAGTTAACATTCGAGTTTTCCAGTGCTACAAAAAAGGAGCAAAAGGTGAGTTTTTTGTCACTATCAAAAAAAACCTTACTAACAATGATGTTGAGGTAAGTGGCTGCCAATTTGGAAACAGAGAAATCTATCCAGCTACCTAGGATTTTAAAGAGACTTTAATAAAAAGGTACACCATCTTCTTAGGTTTTCAGTCAGAAAACCTGACTTGCGGTTAAGTTACAGCCCAAATTCTGTAGCAGTGCCACTGGGACAGCCCTATTCCTAAAGCATGGCACGTGGCAGGTTTCACAGATATTCCCAGCCTTCGGCTAAATTTTATTACCATACTCTTGTAAGAACAAAATAAGATGAAACCATTAAACTATTTACTAGAGCAAACCAGTCAGAGCTACGTGAATCTTTGATGTCTGAGTCTATAAACAAATTGCAGACTGGGTTGTCTCAACTTACTTTGTCCCACTGTGCAAATCTTCAAACTCATTTCACCTAAAGCACTTGGGATAATTTCAGCTGGAACAAATTGTTCCAGTGGGGAAACTTTCTTCCTGGGTTTCCCTCACAGAAATTAGGAGTAGATGTCTTAAATCAGTACACAAGCATAATGGTTGTACTATTAGTTCTCTCAGGGATCTAAATATAATAACTACTTTTTTTTTTTTTTTTTTGTGCATGCTGTAACAGTCTCCATATTTCCCAATCAAGCACCCTAGGACATGCAAGTCCTTTCTGAAAACATTTTATTTACATACACTTCAAGTCAAACCCCTTAGAAAAATGTCTGTGTCAGCAACCTTCTATTGATGAGCTATTAAAAGCCCATGCAAGCCATGGCTGGAAGTTACTTWCGTGTGGAACCAATTTCAGGTACAATTAAGTGAAACACGATGTTAATGACAGCTCATGTTCCCAAGCAGAACCTTCACTATCATTATGTCCAATAAAGGTATTAATCATCCTGTAACACAACCTACCAAGTAACTTGCAAGACGTAATATAACAATCAGACCTATCTATCTAATTTTTACTGAAAGCATCTCTCCCCAGTGACAGATTCATTCACTAGTTAGTCTAAGCATTACAGGAGTAGAAGTCTTGTTCAYTGCTTAAACCTTTCCATTAAGAACTCATGTACATATTGTATTCTGTAGGTAACATGGTCGAATATTGAAAATGTGATCATATAYTTCAATATGGAGCCAATATCTGATTGTTTGATACATAAACAATATTTGGCAATATTTCTTATTTTCAACCACTGACCAGTATATGATCGACTCTGTCCCGTTTCTTTCGTCCAAATTTCATCATCTTCTGCCAGTCTGTTTTGTGATTAGGTTCCTTCCTCAAGTTGAACAACTTCAGCACTTCAGCTGCAATAAAGCTCTACAGAACAGAAAAGATGACTTGTTATCATATTTAAACAAGAAATGAATTGTATGCACAGAGTACCTGCCTTGAAACTCAGGTTATGGAATGTTTCAGTTTAGTCAAGGAACGTAAAGTGCATGGAAAAGATTTTCAGTGGAAGTCTTTGATGTAGCATTATGTAAGTAGAACAATTATTAAACACAGAAGTGGAGAAAAAAAGAAATAATAAAAAAAAAAAAGCAACACCCTTTGCTGCAGCAGTGCTGAGAACAATTTTCATGGGAGGACATTAGAGAAAAGTAGGTGGGAGTCTGGTATCTTTCCTGCCTTGTGCTCCTGCTCTCCCCTTCTCTCCTCCCTCTGATATCTTAAAAGTTTCAGGGGGAGAGAAGGGGAAGGAAGATGGAGATAGTATTTCTGAGTTTCTAAGAGCTAAAATGTATCTTGAGCAACTTAATGAGAATTTAATCCAAGAAAACATCTTCAGAAGCAGCAGTACAGCTGGGAGTTTCCATTTATGTCCTGATAAGCTTTATGGAAGTGCTTTCTTTTCCCATAATGTCCAGTTCTGCAAGCTGAACTTTGCTCCAGTCAGGCTCTAGCTTTTTAGTATTCTGTCTTTTCTTGAACAACACCATCGGCAACAGGAGACCTAATTCTGGTTTGCCAAATACAGCAGTGCCCTCACCAGCCAGCCTGTGGCTGCATCTCAGCAAATCCCACTGTTCTTTGCAAGGTTGTCTCTGAGCATAAAATTCACCTCTTTCCCTTTGGCCCAATCCTGCAATTCAATTTATGCCAATATAGGGAGCTCCACTGAAATCTGCTAAAGCAGCTGTCTGTCAGGATAACAGTTTTAYACAGACAACCAAGGATCTTTCTACTAGTTCTTCTTAGAGGGCTATGGTTCAAAAGCAACYAGTGTCATGCAAGAAGAGAGGAGGGCAAATCTGTTGAGTAAAAAGGGTCATTTTTTTATAAATTTGCTTCCTACTGATTCCTGTTTATCATCTCATTTCTCAACTCATATTTTATGGGATACACTTTTTTTAGCCCTCAGGCAGGTGACGATACTCGATTTTTCATCTTACCTCCCCTACAAAAGAAAGATTTCCTACCTTGATTTCATCCAGATCATTTGGATCCTTTACTCGGCGAAAGTAAGCAGAGGCAACTCTACATGGYTTCATCCAAACAGGCTGATTTAGATTAGGATCCTCAGCAAAGATTTCCCCAAAGATTTCTTTTGTTAAGTCAAATACGGCCTTAACAAAGAAAGTAGTAAAATTAAAGAATTCTGTTGCTCAGAACAAAAAACATTCAAAGGGCAAGTACAGAAAGCCTTAAGATTGTACCTTTTTATACACTTGTTTGTTTACCATCTCCACGTCCTGCTCTTTGGTGGTATYGCTAAGATCCATAGGAGAGCTGAAAGGCTGAAGATCATGACCCAACTCTTTGAGTTTCCAGAGTTCCTCAGCGGCTGCATGTACCATACCTTCTACTTCCACTGCAGTATAAGGGACTGCCAAAGGCTCCTCGCAAGGCTTTGTTGGGACTTTCTGTGGTTCTACCTTGGCCAGCACTGCTGGGTCTTCAGCTTGCTTCTGCTGGACTTTATGGGAATTCAAGCCATAGTCCTCAAACCAGTCTTGATCTTCCCCCAGCACACTCAGGAATTCCCGATTGAGCTCCAGCTCTGCCAGTTTCTTAGCAAGCTCTTCCTGACCACTGGCACCAAATACGGGGCTCTCCTGGGGATCAAGAGTAACAGAGTAAACATTAAAGTGGTGCCACGCTGTTACCTATCAGACATTCGACAAAACTAGATTTCTGTATGCACTACTGATATAACTGGCAATATATACATAAATGCTTTACCRTAATTCTCTCAATGACAATAGATAACCACAATAAAATTAGAAATGCACAACTCAAACACCTGTGTTTTCTTCCACTCCTGATCAATGTTTTCAGAGGGTCCCTCTAGTCTGTGTTCCTCCTCCGTCTGTCCTAACCTTTAATCACGTATAAAAGGTTGAGTAGTTTAAAATTCTCTTTTATTTTGCTTACCAACAATCTCAGTCTGCTCTAATCAACAGCCTAAAAGCCTTTAGCAGGTGATGGCTGTTTCAGTGACTGAGCCAAGGTTCATATTGGTGAAAAGAGCTGATATTTTCTGTAATAATAATATATTGAGATCAATGGCAGAGCAATGAGGTTTACTGGGATCTTCAGCAGGGAGGCCAAGTCTCTACCTGTATCATTAATGGCCGCTCTGAGAAAGACTGAACTTCCACTACTCATGATATATTAGTGCAGTGGATAGAGCAGTCTGACAACTTAACGATCTCTACTACAATTAATTATGTTAGAGAATGATTACTTCATACAGGGAGTAGGCAGAGAAGTTTACAGTCCATCACATCCACATATTTTTAGAACAAAAAATGGATGTAAGGATGAAATACAAATTGAACATGTGAGCAGAATGTTCCCTGCATTAAATAATTTTCACTTTCTCATGGGCTAAAATGTCTTTCATACAACTCAAGAGCTAACAAAACAAGCCATGAAATAGGATTCCTGCAAGAACACGTACGTACACACAGACACACATTCTTCACATCAAGAAATACAACTTCGGAGAAAAAAAATGGTGCCACACTCCATTCTTCAGATTCATCATTAATCAAATGAATTATCAACTCTTAAAAGATAACTGCTACTCACTGGTCTGGGRCACATGTCTGGGGAGGAAAGTTCTTCTCTTTCATCTTCTAAATCAGAACTTAGAAAAAAGTTATTCAGGCCATCAGGAATCAGCTCTTTCACATGCTGGGCTGAGGTACTGGGATCCTCTTTCACATCACAGAGCTCTTGGTTGCTAAGTTGGATTTTCTCATTCCTGGCCTTCTTTATTTGCTGTAGCTGATTGACTGTGTCTTTCACAAAATCTCTGAGGAGACTGTCTGTCAACAAACTGACCTTTTCTAGTTGTATTTTTGTCCTTTCTTCCTCTTTAAATGGCAGTCGAAGCTGGGCTTCTAACTGGTTCTTCTCTTTTGTCAACAAATCCAGAAGTGGAGTTGAAGGCTTCTCCAGAATTTCAGGAGAGAGATCATCTAACTTTTCAGCACATTCTTCCCCTAAAGTCTTTTGCCTCTCCAGTTTTTCAGAAAGAAAATCGGAGATGTCTTCCAAATACTGAGCAGTGGAAGTCTTCTCCATGACACCAGAAATGGGAGGAGCAAGGCATGCCTCTCCTTTTGCAGCATGCTTGAGGTAATCCACCACAGATTGTTCTTGGGCAAGCGACTCAGTAGCTAAAGATACCTCCTTTATGTTGCTTGCCTCAGACAAAGARTCTCCATCTATCCTTTCCCCAGCTGAGGCTCCTAAAACAGTTGTGTCTGCAGGACCTTTATCCTGAGAATATTTTTCTCTTGTATCTCTTTTCTGCATTCCTTCCTCTTTGCCAGGTTTAGAACTTTCTTCACCTTTCTGCTTGGCTGTGTGTTGCTTGTCCAGCCTATCATCAAAAAATGAGTCTTCATCCTTCTTTGTTTCTAAATGGCTATCAATGCTTTCTGGAATATGAGAGAGTTTTTGAGGAGGAGCAAAAATGCCATGTTTTTCTTTGCAATCAAAATACTTTATACCGTCATAAGTTCCATTATTGTTTCCTTCTGGTTTATCCAACTCCACACCAGCCCAAAACCCTTTGGCAAACTCGGTCAGACCTTTGAAACGCAATGTTCCAGGTTGAACTTTGCTCACAAGAACCCTATCTCCAATACTGAAATTTAGCAAGCTATCTGTTTCTTCTAGAATTGAAGCAGAGGCCCATGGTGGTGATTCAGTAGTGGCCTGTTCTTTCTCCACATCTCCATATTCATTATTTTTTAGAAAATCTGTAGGTGATTTAAGTTCTAATAATCTCTCTGAATGCATGCTGCCAGAGAGCGATAGAGATCTGTCACTGAGGCACTCACTGATTTCACCATCACTGCCCAGACTGGTGGACCTGCTTCTGTCAGTTGGTGCATGCTGTGACTGCTCTCTCAGGGACGGAGAATCCTCTTTTGGGGAGAGAAGTGACACTTCTAAGTCATCTCTGTWGTTGTTTTCCACAGGTGTGTCTTCAACTGATGCTTCTTTTATGGAGAAGGATACTTCAAAATCTTCAGAGTACGATTGCTCTTTTTGTGTAAAGGCTTGTTCTGAAACCAGATAACCTTTTTCCTCAGCCRATTTGCTCAGTTGGTGAGAAGATTCTTCTACACTTTGTCCAATTCTAGTGTCTTTGTCTGTCAGTTTCTGGTCTAAGATTTCWTCTGTGCCATGAAGGCTTTCCTCAGTCAAGCCAGAAGGTTCCTTCTGAAACTGTTCGTCTTCAGAAAAGAGGACTTTCTTTGGAAGGATGTCCAGTGAGCTCTCCTGCTCTTTATCTAACAGCAACATGACATCAGAATTCTCCAAAGGCTTATCAGGAAACTCTTCAAGCTCATATTCTTCTGATTTTATGTTCTCTATGTCTTCCTGTATCTCAGATTTATGACTGAAGATAGTCTCATCACTAGATGTATTTACCATATTGTTCACAGAYTCATGAGATATCTTGGTAATGTCTTTTATATCTTTGAGAAGAGGCAATGAGGATACATTATCTGAGGAATCACCAGATTCTGCTCTGGACCTCTTTGTTGACTTCAAAATCAAGGATGATGTTTGAGAACGTTCTTCTGCAAGAAGATCTACTGCAGTCACCTTCTTGGAGTGCACAGGCACAGATCTCTCAGTTCTTGATGATGCAGTATCTTGAAGAAAAAAGTGAAACATAGCAGATTGTATAGCCCGCATTGTCTTATGGAAAACTGCAATCACAAGCAAACACACACAAGCAAACACATATGGAAACACGTATTTTTTAGGATGGCCAATGGATATGGGCAACATTCTTTCATTTCCAGAGCTCTAGGACTTTCTTACCATTTCTGTCCCTGCACTGGTATWTGTTTGGAAGTCATAATAAAAACAAGCAGATTAAAATGGCAGATAATGTTTAGATAATGATTAGCAGAAAATCTTTTTGAAGTATCTGAAAAATATCTAGTATTAAATACCTATCCTTAAGGCATTCATTATTTTGGTTTCCTTAAGCAGAATTTTCTCAAATGATAAAGGTACAGGAAACACAGAAAGGCAAAATTGTTGTGATTAGGGTTTCACATAAAGCTCAGCAAGAACAATATTAAATAGCGAATATTCAGGCAATAGCAAAAAAAAGCCTACTGAACAGAAATAATAAAGCATGGACAAAAAGCCATCCATCTATTGTAGTTTTAGTTTTAATTATATTATAGATATAGAATCTTCAATCAACAAGGGTTTGGATTTTTCTCACTGGAGAATCCCTTAAAAAGAAGGGAGCCAAGTACTGTTACGTTTCAGAATTTTTTAAAGGGGGAGTGAAATGCCGTAATTTAAAAAAACACCATCCCTGAAATACTGGAAGGGTAAATATGGAAGAGTAAAAAATATATATCTTTTGTACTCTGATTTATGAAGTCTTCATGCTCCTTTAAAACCCCTTCTTGAATCAAGAAGGAAAGTTTAAAGATTAAAACATTCACCTGAGATCTGTAGCACTAGTATTTCCTATTACATACCCCCATGCTCCGCAATGGATTCCAAAGATGCTCTGGATCTCTCTGTTTCAGTCAGTGATTTCCAATTCTTTGCTGTCTCAGGTCTAAAGATGAAAAGTTGAAAAATTACTTCCAGTGAATCATGGTTGCAATAGACTTATTTATTTATTTTAAGATAAGAATGTAAATACAAGGACCTATTATTATAAYACCACCCAATGATAATAGAGTGCACCATATTAAGAAAATAAAGGGAATCTCAAAAACAGGGATAGAGTACAGAGAAGGATTTGGCAAGTCCTGGAACGGGCCACTTTCTAAATGTTAATCACAAACTTTTGCCTTTTGGCAGTTAAAAAGAAAATAAAACAGTAATTTTTATTTTTACTTAAGTGCACTAAAATCGTACCATCTGCTGGGAGAAATGAAACACCTGGAAAATATTATAAATTGCAGAAATTTGTTGAATTATCTACAACATGTAAAATCTAAAGTAGATTTAAGTTGCGAATGTGAATAGTTTGCTTCACACAGTGCATCAGGYAGGATGGGTGACCAAAATGGAAGAAATTTCTTCATGTCAGGAGCCCACAGTACCATTTAGCACATATTTACAGAATTAAATTGCTATTGAAAAGTAATTTTCGAGAAGAGGAGATGAATGATAGGGCAAGACAGAAGTGAGATGCATATGATGGTAGTGGCAGTGCATCTATCTGTTTTGGGCCTGATGAGACCAGCAGATAGGACGCAGATATCATCCAGTGATTTGAAGAGAACAGCAGTTACTAGGTTTCCTTGCAGCAAAGGCTTCTGCTAAAACAGCACTCTGGCATTTCAAAATAACCCCAGTAAAAAGAAAAAGAAAACCTGGCTACCTATGGAGCGGTGGTGCCTTGATCTTGGGTTTTTCAATAGCCGAAGACAGAGTTTTAATCTGAGGTTTGGCYGTGGGCGATGTCTCCAGATCTTGGCTCAATTCTGCCTCTGTCTTCTTGATGAACTCATCATATGTCTAAGCATGAAAAACAAGTAGGGTTGTTAATCTATTGAGAGGTAACTACTGTTTAGCAAACAAAGTCTATGAAATGAAAACAGCACAGCCTCAACTATTTGAAGGGCACTATTTTTATGTAAAGCAACACATTTAACTTCTTAAAGCTCCACAGTTGTAAGTTGTTCTTCAAAGTAAAACACTAAAACTTTCAGATTCACATTAGCACTACTCTTTAATCTCAGATAGCTTACTAACGTGTAAAAACTGACTGAACATTGTTAGAGTCCCATTAAGGCTATAAAATAGAAAAGAAATAACATTTTTTGCCTTGGGGACTTGGTTCGCTACTGAATGTGGTTAAATGGGCAGAATACACCACACTCCTGCCACAGTGAATCCCTTAGAGATGTTGTATGATATCCTGTCAGCAACAACCATAATATAATGATTTACCCAAGACTAACAATCTGATTTTTACTTTGCCTTCCTTTCCCCTGTTTCTAACCTCTAGTTGCTTGATCAAACTGGCCTCCTGGGCTTTCAGTCTCTCCTTTTGTCTTTTCTTCTGTTCCTTTTTCAGTTGATAAACGACAGATTTCCTTTTTCGAAGTTCATCCTTCAGGGCCATGATCCGGCCTTCAATGTCACTCTGGTCAGATGTGGTTTCTGAAAAAAGTTTAATGTTAGTTTTTAAATAACTTACACAAGACAGATCAGTGTTACTTAAAGGTAATGAATAGTCATTTAGCAAATAAATAACTTTGTAAATGYAATGCACTGCCCAAATGAAATATGAAAGAATTTAATTTCAGCAAATTAAACTCAACATATTAAGGCTTCTAAAGTTAAATCCCAAATTCATAACACCACTCATTATTTATTCTTCATTCTTCCCTACCCGCCTGATTACATCCACATGCTTCTCATTTTAAACTTATACCATTATACAGCAAACTAAAATCCTGGTCCCACACTTGCGCTGCCACAAATAAATTCACAAAACTCTTCAAAATATTTATCTCACATAGTCTTACTCAAAGTTCCTTCCTGGGGCTGATGTCCCCATTACTTTTCAATATCAGCCAACTCCTAATTGAAGTATCCATGCTGATTTGCTTTTCTGACACRCAGTATTTTCTATGCTGTTTTCCAGACCAAAGAGCTTAAAATGCTCATAAGCCCACCAGCTTCTTTGAAACATCTAAGTCAGTCAGTCACCATGACTATCTGGTGGTGGACATTTTGCAGGAACAGCAGGACATTTTGCTCTCATTTTATAAAGCATTTTACAGTCTCATTTTACAAAGCAACARAGAGACATAATGAAGGATTTCATCAACTACAACCAGCAAATACAATCAAACTACTGTATTCTTTTTCCACTAACATCTGTTGTTAACTATTTAGGGAATTAAGAAAAACAAGGAAGAAAAGAAGGGAATCTCACTTGCTAATCAGGAGTGCTTTATGACATTACCGTAATTAACAACTCCTCCTGAATGGTAAGTGACCACTACATAATTATAGCTTTTAGTGATCAAGTCACAGGGGAAAGATCTGCATACGCTTTCATCTCGGTTGATCTTGTCTGTGCACGTATCAGGGCTAACATAGCAACSACTTGGTTACTATGAAGCTTGGAAGATTTGTCTCCTTACAACGAAATGATTTATTGGGAAACCAGMACCATCCTGGTCCACCTTCCTCTTCTTGATACATTTACCTGGTGTTTGAAATGATCAAAGACTGCAAACACTTTATTTTGAAAGTTTATTTTCATCACCACTGTTGCCTCTTAACTTTTCCTCATGGTTTCTTTGTGTGATTTCTCAGTTAGGACTAGAAGATAACTTGATAATGTTGCTGAACACTTACCTGTGTTGCAAAGTGCCCTACGGACAAAATGTCAATACAAAAATACTACTTTTACTGGACTTAACTACATATTACCCTAGAAACTACATAAAAGATTATTAAGTTGGCTATACCAGTCACTAGAAAGACTGGAAATGTAGATATACTAGCAAGAAAAAAAGAAAAATAAAAAGAAAGAGAGAGAGGGAACGAGAGAGGGAGAGAGAGAGCGCGCACGTGAGCTGGAAGAGAATGCAAACTCATCTGCTAATGATAAGTATTTTATGATGCTATCACACATTGGAGTACAAGATRTTTTCATACACTGGAGTACAAGTTGTTTTAGAAGATGAAAGTACAGAAGTCTCTTCAAAACAGACTATACAGTTTAACACAGTTTAATGTATGACTACATGGAATGGATGGCAGTGACTCCTCAAGAGTGTGTTCAAGCAAGTCCTGGAAGCCACATGACTAAATCTGGAAGAGCACATCAGGAAAAGAATCTCTCTGTACTAATCCATTTGTAATTTTTTTTTCCTTCTTGTTTGTTGCAATCTGAATATTGAATCAATACAGAATCAATCTGAATACTAAGTTAAAAAATTTGTGGTGTGAGACCACACAGTAGTTCTTATATTTTATCACTCAAAATCAAATCTTAGGCCCTGTTTTATTGCACACAATTTTAATCCTCTTTCAAAAATAAAGACAGAATCACTTCCTTAGGGGCTTCAATTTGACAATCTGATCAAAATGACAGGTCATGCACACACATTACTGAAGTTCTTTTCCCCGATGCCTAGGAGAAAACCTTTTGGTCATAGCACCAATGGAGATTTAGGACACAAAGAAGTAAGAAATGTTCAGCAGTTTTGCAAGACCCAACCTGACACACCTAAAACATATTTTTTTCTCATGATCCACTGTCTCGCAAGGTAGACTGTCCTGTTTGTGGACACAAAGCTTCTGCACACGTACTGMAGGGTCCCATTAGATTGGCACAAAGCAGCCCAGGTCCAAATGACTTGATCGTAYAGTCACGGTAAAAGAACTATACTACTTGGGGAGCCAGGTTTTGTTCAGAAGGAGGACAATCATGTTTATATGCTGCTGAATCATCTTTTTTCTTAAAATAAGTGGGATGGAGCTAACCTGGCATATTTACATTCTAAAAACATCTTGCCTCTCAGCTCTTACCTTCTTCATACCTCTTTGCAGGAAACTAAATTGTTTTCTTAAAAAAAAAGAAAAAAAAAAAAAGAAAAAAAAGTCTTCCTAAGCTTAACAGATTAAATAACATCTAGGGAAAACACCCTCACAGAAGCTCCAAATCTGGCAATTTCCAGGAATTTGTTTCCCTGCACTCTAACCTAGGTATTTGTGTTAAGCCTACTCATAAAAAAAAAAAAAAAAAAGATAAATTGCAGTTTAAACTGCAATTTAAAAGCAGATATTAAACTTACCTGATTGTGTCATAGATAAAGATTCATCAGACCAGCTGTGAGATATCTGATGAGACTTCACAACTGCACGTAGCTGCCCTCCAACTCTGTGGCTGCTTTTGCTGGAATCTTGCTTTGATATAGACACACYGCTTTTAGGAGGAGACTATTTGAGAATAAAAAGGACAAATAAGTAACTAATCGTAAAGCTCAGTTTGAAAGCAGGGGATTGTTTTCACCATGAGMTAACTACTAGGAAAGAACATAGCCTGACTAGAGAACTTGCTATAGGTAATAATACRTAGCTAAACACCTTAAAAGCTTATCTTTTAAGATATTTAAAAAGTGAGTTAATTGGGTTAAGATATCTAAGAAGCAGGTTTATTTAAAAACTCACTTGGACGCAATTCTGTGCCTCTAGGTGACTCTGCGTGTGCAGGGGGGTTGGACTAGATGACCTCTAGAGGTCCCTTCCAACCTTAAGGATTCTATGATTCTATGATCTTAGTTTCTTGGACAGCAAAACAAAAAATACCAAAACAGTCAAATACCCAGAAGAACAAGAGCTAATTGCTTGTTTTGAGTCTTGATTTCAGTAAACCTTAAACTAGYCTACTACCAAGTGAACTGAAATGCTTCTGACTCATAGGTATTCAAAACAGTTGATGTAATCATATTTGGTAACAACTAAGGCAATAAAATCTCCTTTTAAATATACCTGTGAAACCAATTGGACCCCTCTACAGAAAAAGTGCATGACGCCATTTTAAATAACTACAAAAAATAYGGCCCTATTTTTTTGTAAGTAGGCCAAAAAAAAAGTAAATTTTCTTTCATTAAGCTAAAATGTTGCTTAGTGGATCAATACTATAACATAAGCCTTTCATACTCCTTGAACACAACTTCTAGAAGGAATGTACATAATGGTAACAAGCTAGCCCACAGCTGATTCACACCAGTAAGCTGGTTCAGTGTTCCACCACTTCATACCACATACCTAYGTGACACACGTGAAGTATTTTGCAAGACTGCCCACAAATTTAACCACCTAAACTCTATGCTGAAACACTTTTTTAAGACTTAAAGAATACATCTCACCACAATTTTTATCCATAATACTGTAAAATATCATTGCAAAACACAGGGAATAGTTTAATCTCTGCCTAGACAATTAGAATAGCTACATTTCTTATGTTTTATGATAGCTATTTACAAGGTTAAGAATATACACAGCATAAACAGCTCACTCACAAGTTTGCCAGGAGAGGTAGAGGACTTGATGTCTTCAGAATAGGCCATTTCTTCTGTAACTGTATGATGATTTGGGCTCTCTGACTGCCCGTGGCCCATGGTCTCTGATGGGACAGACTCAGCAGCCGGACTGCCGAGCTCTTCTGGGACAGAGCTTTCACTGTTGAGGTAAGAGCAAGAAGGCACTGGAGACTCCTCTTCACTCGCTGTTTCTGAGATTGAATAATGAGAAGGAAAAAGCAGAGCATATGAAAAGCTTGCACTGACATACATGCAGCTAATAGTATTGAGATTTCAAGGCAACTGTTGTCTGCAAGTAAAGTAATAACTGCTACTAGCATGTGTCTGATAGGCATTTTTTCACTTGYGTAGATACCTACAGGTGAATATTCAGAAAGAACAGGCACATTTACCAGAGAACTATGATACACAGTGATTTCTGGATGCTTAAAACAAAATGCTTTACAGGATATTCTAAAATTTTCCACACAATAGGTTCCAAAAAAGATCATTAGGGAAACCTGTTCTTCCAGCTGACCATCCAGTAGAAAGAGTCACTAATTATTAYGAAGAAGTTACAGTGCAGCATATAACCTGCAAAGAAGATTTTGAATTTAGAAGTGATTGCTTCCTTTACGGTAGCTGCAGAAAACATTTTAATAGTATGATTTCATCATGAGTCCGTCAACTGGCAATAAGCAAAATAATAATCTGGGTTTTCCATGCTCCTGTTTATTAAATTCTGCAGGACATGGAACATTGTTGAAGCAGCCATGGAGAACAAGTCAATGAACTTCAGTCACTGCATTAACAACAGAGGTAGAGGGAAGCTGGAAGCAAAATCAAGGAATTCAAAACAACTTTAAACTTTTGGAAATGCAAACAACAAAGGGAAAGCAGCCTCTGATGGTAACAGTAATAAGGCTACCAGGAGAGGGACACAACAGTGCTGCAGTAGAAAAGGGTTTTAATGGCTAAGTTGAAATCAAATTATTTTTGTTATTTTGTTTTAAAAAGATAAACATATGCTTTCATTTGTAGAAACACCTAGTGCATCTATAATGCACTGCACACCTCAGAGGATAGACAGTAAAGGAGGAACACACATAAAACTGAGTTTTACAATAGAGTTAAAAAGAACCAAGCAGAAACAGCAGAGGGCGAAAATCAAAGATTCTGRGAGCATCCAGAAAGAACAAGCCCCACAAAAACACCCACAGAAAAAAAAAAAGGGAAAGAAGTACAAAAACCAGGCAATAGTTGGTGCCAGATTATGTTTTACTCCTTGCATTTACATCAGTTCCCCCTCCTTGCTCTTTCTAGTATTTATTAGCACACACATCCTTGCTATTTATTACCTTTGGGCTCTGYTCTCTGATCCCCCAGTTCTTTCTTGGCTGCTTTGGGCTTCAGCTCTTTGTCCCAGGCAGCTAGAGCCTGTTTTTCTATGCGCCGTATTTCTGCTTCCTCCGCATCTAGGCGGCGCTTCCACTCCAACAGCTCCTCTGCGTGTTGGCGGCGCTGCATCAGCTTCTGCTCCCGCTTGGTTAGGAACCTGGTACACAGAGTAGAAAGCAGGGGAAAAGGAGTCAGCCACAGGCAAAAGTGCCAAGAGCCAGATACTCTCTTGCCATAATTCCCAGAATTTCAGCTGTTCAAATTGCTCTCCAGGATAACATMCACGTTAACTAACATTTCCCAGAATTCTGATGTGCTGATTAAAAAAAAAAAAATCTACATATAAACACCTACATATAAAGCAGACAAGAGAGATTCTTTGCAGTAAAAAACATCCACAGAATGTTACAACAGTAGGAAAAAGAGACACTACTGCCTCATAAAATTTCTCAATGACTTTTTCTTCTTACAAGAAAAAAAATTAATCAAGTGCTAGAATATCACATCGCCACTCATTCCATAGTTTTAATTCCCTTATCCTTTTCAGAGATTATTTTTGCACCAGGTCTCTGAAGATAAGCTTAAGTTCGGTCCACTAGAGAAAAATCAAGTTTTACAATATTCTTCACTCTCCACTTTAAACAACGTAAGCACACTGCTTGTGTGTGAAGGATCCAAAACTTAACATCATTGAAAGTGCTATGCACTATTCACTCAAATGACCAGTGTAAGTTCCCAATTTCAGGAYGTGAAAAAGTACCTGTGGCATTAAACTGGAACCCTCAAGAAAGCAGTAACTATTTGAAAAAAGAAGCTTTCCCTGTAGTTTATTGCAAAGACAGAGAAAAGATTGTAGCCCTAACTATTCCACAGATCTTTCCAAATATATGACGCTAACATTCTGAGAGTCCTCCTGAGTTACCAGAGTTTTTAATCTTTCTTCCTCTGAAGACAATCTAGATGGATCTTCCCTCCAGCAGGTTGTCTGCTGACAGCATCAAGAGAAAAAGATGTCGGGCTGTTTTTTTCCAGGTACTAGCAGATATGGATGATAGTTTAAGACTGGCAATAGATTAAAAGTAAAGCTCACGCCGAAAGTTAGCAGCTTTTTTCCTTTGGGACAAAGAATTCTCAAGCGATCCATGAAACCTCGGAAACGTCAAAATTCACAAAGAACTTTGCAATTACAAACAGTTTGTGTGTAGATACTCATTTTCTGCCCTCCCTCCCCTTTTTTTTTTTTTTTGACCGATAGCAAGTCTGGTGTTATTTTTAAATATTGATATTGTTCTATATATTAAACTTGGAAGATGGCATTTAACTTTAAGATAATAACTGGGAGTTCAGTATTATTCACACAAACTTCCTTTAACATATTGGGTCTACGGACTAGTTTAAATCAACTTATTAAATTTCCTTAATTTAAATTCTGAGTATGCCAGAAAAATCACTCTGAAAATATATGGTTTGCAGCTAGAGAGAGAGAGAGCTCCTGATTAGTACAGAAGCTATGGTGCAAATGTCTTTATAATTCGGAATTTTCAAGCCAACCCAAACACTTAGCATCTATGTTTTTAGTCTCAAAGCAGTTTTTTTTTTTTTTAACTTTACATGTGCTTTTTAATCTTCTGTGTTTCAGAGACCCTTTTATGCATAGAGACTGACAAGGCCAATTGGCTAATCCACAGGTCTCACCCGCTGAGAGATCATCTCTTGATTGCCCTCCTAGTGCTTTTTCTATTCCCTGGAGAAGTGATCTGGCAGTTTAACAGAAAGGTAAAGATTCAGATGTCTACTTCAAGACACATACAAATAAGACGAAGAACAGACAGGATATGAAGGTAAAAGTTTCAGCAGCTAGTAAGATATCTGGAATGTGGCCACTATTCTCTTTCCTAGAGTCAAGACAAGAATGGATGAAAAACAGAAATATCTTGTAGACTTTCTGGAATACCTGTCACCTKTCAGGTGGCAATGAGTTCTATGGCCTTGTCTGTGACATTATTGCTTTCTACAGAGAGGCAACGCTGCCTCCCCTTGGCAAAAATCAACAGATTAAACATCAGAGACTAAATTAGCAACAATAGTCATAGTTGTCTGTGTTTTGTCTTTCCCCAGTACTAACAGATTTTTCAATTCCTGGGTTCAGTTGCACAACTCCAATGAGTTGAGCAGCTCATATGCGTGGAATGTGTTATAGATGCCAATTCTACAATAATGACCTCAATGCGCAAGGCAACCTTTTCTTCTTCTGTCACCAGCTATTCACTTCGCCAGAACCTCTGGGTCTTCATGGTTGACCATATCTTGAAGAGGAGAGTCTAACTGTACTGAAAGTCAAGGGAAAGACTAAAATAATTGGATTTGAAAGAATAAAGCTTCTCAACACAATGTCAAACGAATTAGATGGGAAGACCACAATATGAAGGAGAATTAACTAAATAAGCATATAACTAAATACTATGCAAAGACTAATAAGGAAATCAGCAGTCTGTTAAAAGAAATGTTTATAGCAAAGAAAGGTTTAAAAGCTTGATCTATAAAAAAGGAAGGGATTAAAGCAACACGGCTAAAGACGCAGACTCTTTTATTACCTTGGGGTTTAATGGCCAGGACCACAAGGCAGCACACATGCTACATGAGTATTCACTACACTCTAGAGGGTTCCAGTTGAACACCAAGGGTACACAACCATCCTCAACAGCGGGGCGGTTCCAAGGGAAATATCCAAACACACATCTAGCAGGATGCAAGGCAGAAAAGCCGGGGAGTGAGGAGGAAGCAGCAGCACTTACATCATCCTGATTTACAGACTTTTGACTATTTCTCTGGTGCTAACGTTACATGTTCTATCCACCCCATTCCAAAATGTTAGGAAAAGAGACCGCAGACCAAGATGGCCCAGTTGCAGAGCTAGAAGTATTAACCTGGTGCTCTCGACTTTATTTATACTGCATGTACACTCAASGTACACTGGCTTTAAGCCCAAACTGGACAATTCAGTGACTATTCTGAAGCAACAACAAAACAGTGGGAACAAAGCGAACTGAACTGTCATTTCGAGTGCAGTAGCAATAATAAGAAATTAACCTGGAAACAGTGACTAAAGTTGGTCAAAAATGTTTGCTGGTGAGGAACCTCTTGACTTTTTTTAGGTCTGAACAGAGCATGCTCTATCAAAGAGTCCATCACTTGAGAAAGGTAGTTACCTGACCAATTGGTTGTAGATATACAGCTGGAATTTGGGGTGGAGGTTGGGAAAACAGACACTGAGAGAGGCCCAGTGGTGAGACGTAAAGACAGAGAAGAAGTAGTGAACAGGAGAGCAGTGTCTACAAAATAAGGAGGAAGAGTTTAAAACCAAGATAGCAAAAGACAGAAAGAATGAGAAAAGGATAGCATCTAGCAAAGAACTTTAAAATTAATTGCGTTTGACATTGTATACTTATTACCTAACATCCTGAAGCAGAAAAACTATATATTATTATGTAGAAGGCAATAGAATATATACACTTATGCATAGTCTATTCAACTTTTATTTTCCTGTTAAATAGAGGCATGCCACCTTCAACCATATTTTTTCCTCACATCTTGGAGGGAGCTGTTTTACTCYGATGCAAACTTCCACATACACTTGTTAAGAGATCTCAACCTGACCATTTTGCAGCCCTTGCTATTCCAGCCCTCAACAGAGAATATTATTAGCATTAAAAAGCACGYTGGTTTTGTGATATGAACAACTTTGTTAGCCTGAAATCTTAGACACATTTTCCTTCACCAGGCCAAACCCGAATCAAATTATTTCCCCAAAGGGAAGCCCCAGTAAAAGAGCAATAAAGAAATAAATAAATAGCTTCTAARGAGTGAGCAATTGCAGGGAAAGACCAAGACAGAAGCAGATTTCTGGTCACTACTGACTCCCTCTTGGAACTGTCATACATTGACTCTTTCATTTGAGGTATGAACTGCAGACAGGTAACATCTGYTTTTAAAAAAATCTACATGACTATGCTTAAACTGGCATTTGCTCAAGAAGGACTGCTTTAACTTATTCCTAACGAATGACCATATTTAAAGAAAGATAACATGCTTCATAAAGTTGTGTATCACRAAGCATAAAGAAAAGCAAAAGAAAACAAGCAGTTAATCAGTTCATCTACTGCGCAGATTATCATTAAGCTGCATATGCATGAGAAGCAAGGGAAAAGGGATTAATTCTCTTTGACAGAGCATGCTACTGTTCACATGCAGGCTACAAGGATTCACAGATTAAACCTTTCACTCCCCTTTTAGCAGAAGAGAGATATTAAAGCTGTCTCATAAGGAAGGATGTGAAAGGATTTTCCCTTTGCCAGGGAGTACAGAAGACCCAGCCCAGCAGGGCTTGCTGTCTTCCAACATACTTCACCATTCAGCTTCTTTCCTTGTGCAATATGCAGAGACAGCTTCCTATTCTTACATTCCAAATGAACAATATCTTACTGTATTTCACTATTCTTGCGCCTTATAAATAAGTACCTAAAAAGATACCAAGTTGGCGCTCCTGAAAAACAAAATGAAATCCCCCAAAACTCCCATTACAAAAAAAAGGCAGAAAACGTGTGCAAAAGCAATGCAATCAGGAAGATCAAGTTCCAGAGAATCAAGTTCCAGGATTGCAGGAAGGTGAGCAAGTATGTAAATAAATAAAGTAACTAYAAGGATACTGAATACTTTCTGCCTGGTACTGTTCTCTGTAATAGTGAAGACAACTAATATACTAGTATGTTAGTCTTTCTGGAAACACATCTGCTGCTTAGCAATGAAGAAACAAGGAAAAAATAAAAGATTTCAAAACCAGTATTGACAAAAATGTTCATTACAGGTTTGAATAGGGAAAGAYTATGCAACTAGAACCATTTTTATCTTCTTTTCTCTTTTTCTATCACTTTTTAAAAAAATCTTTATCAAAACYGGGTACGTAGTTATGGGAAAGGCACTTCCCAACAGACTACAAGGAACTAGGGTGTTAAGGAGTCACGGACAGCTCTTCTTTACAAGTCTTTACAGCCTGTAATGCTTTTTTTTTGGATGCTACCTTCAAACTTAAAAAAAAAAAATTATAAAGATCATCTACGTGGATCAATATGTAGTGATCAAACTTAGTAACCAAATTAAAAAAAAATTAAAAAAAGTCTCAAACAAAAACTTCAAGATTCGGAACCATTGAGTACATGCTGGTAAAGCACTTGCAATGTTCAAAGCAGACAAATCAAAATGTACTCAGAAAAGAAGCAGAAACCATTTCTTCTGTTCAAAACAATTCAATGGATGACATCAACAAATTCTATCTTAAGTTTTCAGGCCCAGGAGATGAATTTATACTTGATTATTTCCTTTGAAGAGAAAGAGTTGCTCTCATTTTTTTTTCCCCCCTCTCTCCTCTCCAGTATGTGCACCTCTTGGGACAAAAGGAAAGGTCTTATTAACTGTCTTCAGTCATCCACACACCACCTTCGTTCATTACCCAAATACTTACAGAACTCATCTCTAGCTGATTTTAAGGCAACAGGAATTGAAATTCAGCAGTTGGATACAAGGCAGAGCTTGTGCGCTCAACAAGCTGACTGTGAATCAGATCTCAAAATCAGTTACTAATTTTCCCTACAAACATGACTACAACTATTAATAACCTATGCTTCAATCCAAGACAGAAACAGACACAGTAATTCCAAGGCATCACTCATTTTAATTCTCTAAATTAAAAAGTGCCAATACAAAGTACAGACGGCACTGACTGTCTAACTTAAGGTCTATGATTGCAAGTCGTACTTTGACAAGATGCACCATCAAGCTGTACCATTCAAATCCTTGTATGCACAAATGTCAATCTTTTAAATTTAAGTGTTTTTATGGAATCTATCAAGTCCAGAAAACATTGAAATTGCCCTTTCCAAACAGTCTTGTGCATGTATCATGGACCACACAGCATGCCAGCTAACAAGGTTCGAATGTCAATACTCATGCAAGTAGAGTAGCCCCTAAAATATTATCCTCAAAAATAATTAAATCATTTTAATGCATCTAACCAGCTCTTTTTCAGGCAAGCCAGACTTGCGAGTTAAAATTTATGTTTGAGAGTTAAAACTTATATGCCAGTGTAGATCAAAGTATTTATATATGCGTGATATAAACTGCTCTAGTCTTTCTTATTTGTGCAGATAGATGATGGCAAAAAAATGAACTTCTCTGTTAAAACAGCAAATAAATTTTGTAAAAGAAAAGAAAAATAGAATTAGTTACTTTTCATCCATTCTGCTGCGCATTTTTTTAAGCTTCTCCATGATGCTACTAGTCTCACTGCTGGAAACTGAGACTGGGGAAGGAGTGCGTGTTTCCGCATCTGTTGGAAGAGGGCTAGAAGCATTGCTCTGTTTGATGTCATCTTCACTGGGAAGTTCCTGCAATGTATGTTAAAAAACAATTAAATTCAACTGTTGGAGTAAAAATAGTCTATTATCTTTTTTTTTTTCATTGTCTGAATTTATTACACTTTTCAGAGATTATATCAAATAATACCTCAGATAAATCTGTCTACCTGCAGATCTCCAATGAACTAACTTCATACTCCAACACTAACTTAGCACTCCAACTTAATTTCTATTTTACACACAGCTTTTTACTACTTCCTTTATTTTCTTCCATTATTTAAGTCTCCACTGGTTCTGAACTGTATCCAGAACCAAAAACCTCCCCCAAGAATGCGAACACTAAGCCACACACAGAGCGGAAATCTGGTTTGTTTTGTGTGTGTGTGTTATTTTTATTTATTTTTAAGAGCTTATGTTTTAATTCTTTAGCATCCAACAGGGCCATACTTAAAATGAGTTAAAGCATTCTTTCCTACACAACCCTTATTCCCACTTATCAGCAAGTATATTCCAACTTTTCATGGTAAAAAAATCCAATTCCCAAAGGCCCAAACTTTTCAAGAATCGGAGCCTGAAAGAGCTGATTGTCCAGAGAAGTWATACACCCAAAGTCACTAGCTGAGTTTGAGGATTAAAAAACCAACACCTACTGCTTGGTTAAAATAAAATATCCATTCTAAAGCTTCTCCAAGAACATTTCCTTAAACTATGTTCTAAAGACATTAAACAGATGAAAATGCTGAAATGCAGAGGATGAGAGAGTCTGAGGAAAAAGAAATTTATAGTTCAGTGATAGGTTCAGATTAGTAGCTTCACATTCCTATAAACACTGAAGTCAAATATCAGCTGCAGAACCAAAAGAGGGAAGAGTCCCAATTCTATACYGACACTTACCAGCTTGTTTTCTCCTGCAGACTTCAGTTTTTCTTGCAGTTTCATTGTAGTTTGATGGATTTTTTCTATTTCCGCCTGCTGTTTAAGAATCAGCAGCCTCTCTTTCCGAGCAGCCTTGTTGGCTTCCTGAAGATGCTTAATTTCTGCCTTTTATGTAGAGAGTAAACAGAATAACTGTAGTGACAAAGAGCTCAGACACATTTTACGCCTGCCACTGCCTGTACAGCTGCATTTGTTAGTTTATCACATAATTTCAATAACTTTAGCCTGCAACTTCAATAGCAGACACAGAAGATTTAATTAACACATCTGAACTTCACTAGTGACACTACTGATAAAACGCCACTGAAATACAAATAAAACATATTAGAAAGAAATATTACCAGCTTTCTACTCAAAACGCCCAGCAGTCTTTTCAATACTTTTACAACCTCTAAAATATTTGGTCATCACACAGTGTTTTCTACATTTTTTCCTACATGGCACTGGTTACCTTTTCCTGCTGTAACTTCAGCAACAGGTTACGCTTTAACTTTTTTATAGGAGGCATCTTATCGTCTTCTCCCTTGTCTCGCAAGTGCCTGCAAATAAAAAGGGAGAAGGGATTAAATAAGAAGGGGGATGGGGGGGAAAGGYTGTACACAGATAATGTACAACAAGGTTTTTAATAATAATATTATTAATAATACAGTATTTTATATGAATGGACAGAAGTGCTGCAAARGCAGCTTGCTCTTCATTTGAGAAGACAGAAGAATGGACCCTTGGGGCACTGCCTCACAATCCTTTGTCGAGGCCACAATGAAAAACAGCTAGAAAAAAAACGTCTGGTGGACAGAGGTTTTCTCCTACAGTAAGTCACCAATTTGCAAGAAGCGGAAAATACCACTGATTAAATCAGGCAACTTCTATCCAGTAGCATCAGTAGATATTTCTACTGGAATTTCACAAAAAGAATACGGAAGGTTGAAAAAAAATCTTTAGGGACGTCACATATGCAGRTTGACAAAATTTGGCTTAAGTCAATTAAGATGATCTTGGATCATCACCACTTCTACATTTTCCAGGGTTAAGACCTTTAAAGTGAGGAACTACACTCTCTTTGACTGATAACACAAATCTCTCTCAACTGAATTCTTTTTACCTAATCATATCTGATGTAAATGGCAAAGTACAATTTATGTTCTGAAAAATTACGTTCTTTTCRAGTGACAATAGTTGTATATATTGTAAGTATCAGAAGATGAGCTCATTTACTGAAGCTTAACAGAGGGGAAAGAGCAGGAACAAAATCCACAAAAATAAACAAATGAATTAATAAACACATAGAATCAAGCTGAAGCACAAGAAAATGACCAGTGAGCATACTGGCATAAGCTCAGCATATATATAACAAGGCATATTCAGAGCTCTCTTACTTCTTCTGGTGTTCCAGCCAGGCGAGTTCAGCCTTGGTCTTCTCCTTCAAAGCTTTTTCCCTGAGCCGAAGCAGTGAGGAATGATGAGCTGCTCGCATTTCTTCCTCTTTCATGTACTGCCTTACCATCTCCATGGTAAACTTAGAAAAACTATCTTGCCCCCCTGAGAATGGCATGCTTAGCTCCTGGAAGGCAAGACAGACTCAGCATGATTTGATAATACAGGAATTACAGAGTTTTTAAAAATTATGTGTATAAGTATGTGCATGCATATACATATATATTTTTATATATGTACACATATATTTTTATATATGTATACTGATCACACTGAATATACACACTGCCATGCAGCATGATTCATACCACTCCCAAAGAGGAGAAGAGAAATCTGAAGCCTGCAAACACAACTAACCCAACGGCTTGCTTTAAGCTCACCAGCTTGAGCGTCTCAGGCCAATTTATTTACCCTAACTACAATCACTTGCCCTACCTTGATAGATGACAGAGCTTCTTTTTCCGGGCAGGCTTCCTCATCAGAATCCCGACTACCCCGTTTCTTTTCCAGGTTAATTCTGCGATGACTCTCAGAGGGCAGCAAAGACCGAAAAGACTTTTCCTCAATTTCATCCTCTGTCATAGACTCATCAAATTTCAGAGAATACTCTGTTGCAATTGAAGCAGAATCTGAAGATGAAATCAGAGAAGTGGTTTTATTCTCAGGTATGTACCAAAAGGCTGTGCAACTCTGCTTCATCTCAGGAAAGGTGTAAAAGGGGAGAGGATGACTAACCTAATGCAGAAAAACGGGAGCTTCTGAGCAGAGCTTTTTCCTTTTTGAGAAGAGCTGAATTTTGAGTTAAGAGGATATAATGAAATATCACTATTCAGCTAACAAAGACATAATGAAGTTCTTTATACAAATATAAAGGTATACCATCCCATTGGGATGGGATGTGCCATTCTCTGCTACCACTTAAGAGGCCAGCAATCTACCTGGGGCTCAGCTTCCTTCACATGTACTGCCTCATTTATTTCAGAGGACAATTCCAAAACACGACTCCCTCCTTCCCTGCCTTAACATCTCTAGATTCGCCACGGACCAAATTATTTAYGTACCTGGGCCTGTTCAGCCTGAAGAAGAGGAGGCTGAGGGGGGACCTGATCAGTGTCTTTAAGTACCTCAAGGGAGGYAGTGWGRAGGAGGGGSCGGCCTCTTTTCAGTGGTGGCCAGCGACAGGACTAGAGGAAACGGCCACAAGCTGAGGCACCAAAAGTTCCACAGGAACTTAAGGAAATATTTCCTGACTGTGAGRGTGACAGAGCCCTGGAACAGGCTGCCCAGAGAGGTTGTGGAGTCTCCTTCTCTGGAGATCTTGAAAACCCGCTTGGATGCAGCCCTGTGCCACGTGCTCTGGGTGACCCTGCGTGAGCAGGGGGTTGGACTAGATGACCTCCGAGGTCCCTTCCAACCTTAACCACTCTCTGATCTCTCTAACCTTTATCATCTGGCAGCGACAAAACACTATCGCTCGGCAAGGAGTCATCCACAGCAGCACAAGCCTGCTCCTCAATACAGCTACTGGTCTTCTCACGCCGGGAAAGCTTCTTCTCGTTCTCCTTAGGAGATGGGACTGAAGGGCTCTCCTGGCGGCTGCTGGTACTACTGTTTCACCAAGAAATAACATAAAACACACACATACACATATATATGTATGTATATACAGACAAATATACACACATGCATGCATATAAAACAAAAACCCCACAAGTATAGTACTTCAGACATTTCAAAATATTTAGTTTACATTACTACTGTACATATTGACTGCCAACATCCTGGCAGTAATCAATACTTAGGTTTTGCTGGGTGAGTTTTTTTGTTGATGTTGTTTTTGTTGGGGAGGTGGGGGTGTGTGGGTTTTTTTTTTTTTTTAAATTGAGAAGCCTTGAAGTGGACACTATGCTCAGTCTCCCAAGTGTTCAATAGGGTGGAATAAGCACTTCCCTTGACCAGCTCACTATTCTTGCTAACATAGCTCGGTAAGACGGTAAGAAAGGAGGTGTGGAATTCTTAGATTCCTACGTTATGAAACAGAAAAACATTAAACAAATACAGCAAATATAAATCTGAAAATATTAACCCACAGTACATAATTATGCTGTGGCAGTTTAGCAGGATTTTACAGTTATATACAAAGCAAATTCTAGTAGGAATATAAACCTTTGAGCTTTAGAACATAGGAAAAGCTTCACCTGCAGAAGGTTTAAAATCAACTTTAGTTTAATATAGACTTTTCCTCTTTAAACAAAAAAGAACACCTTAAAGAAGCGTCTCATTATTCCTTTGTRTTTTTAAATTTATTTCCTCTTTATAGCAGAAATAAAATGTGTGATCATATCTCTTCTTACCTCTGATCATGAATTTTTGATCTTGAGGATTCTGAGTAACTATCAAACACTGGTGAGTATGTTTGCTTTGAGTCACTTTTCTCCTCTTTACTCTGTGAAATGGCACCAGACACAGATTTCCTGAAAAAGGGAAGTGTTTGGGCTGAATCTGCATGGTCTTAGAACAAAGAATAATAATTTCTATTTTTTCCCTATCAGCTTACTAGAAGAAATAAATTTCTGAAAAGGCCACTTAAGGCTTAGACTAGTTAAATAAAACCACAAAATGTTTAGAGCATCTTTTTCTTCTTTTTTATAAACAGTTTCACTAAATAAGTATCTCGTGCTTGGGATATACCATTATGGGCAGAAAGATGCCATCTAAGTTCTTCTTAAATTCTCACTTCTTACTACACCTTATGATTTTCATAAGGCAGGAGAAGCAAAGCCAAACAGACCCTAGACCCCCCTCYTCAAGATGAGAAATACATTAGAAAATACCTGTTTGCATCAGCTCGTGCTCTCAGCTGCTTTATGAACTCCATGTGATGCTGCCGCTGGTGGTCAAACAAGGTTGTCATTGGAGCAGCTGGAGCATTGACAGGGTCTGAGGTTTGGGCTAACTCTGTCATCTGAGTGTGAAAAAAAAAAAAACCAAAATGAGAAAGAATGCAACAAACTCTTTCAGGGAGCTTATTCAGGGAGCTCCTCTTTCAGGGAGCTTATTGATTTATTCAATAGATGAGTGAAACACATGGTTTTGACATTGTTTATAATTACATATGTGTAAATTTGTTGGTAAGAGGTGCATACTGTGCTGCATATACGATGTATACATATACGGCATATACAGTGTATATATATGGTATTATCCATGTGAAACTACAGACATGCGAAAGATTTATTGCTCCTTAACACACCATTCTGATCACCTAYCTGAATTCTGCTAACTAGAATGACTTCCACATAGGAACACATCCTATGAGCTACAACTTATTTTTAAAAATCTGCCAGAAACAATTATTTTTCATATTTTTTTTATTATATGACATCCACTGACTAGAAACATGACAGAAAACTTTAAAAAATCACAGCATATTGTAACACTATTTTAAAAAGCCTCAGATTTTACTAATTTTGCTCTTGTTCAAATGTCTGCACCTTCAAGAGCAGGGAACCAAAAGGTGAGGTGGTGTTAGCAGTAATGACGTGTTTTCAAAGAACTTCAAATATACATGTTAAGTTTTTCTTTTTTTTTTCCTTTTCCTCTTTAAGGCATGTAATTTTCCAACATACAGATCAGTTATGTTTAATTCGACTGTCTGTATGCATGGCTCACTGTTTCCCTTTCCTTCCCTTCCCTTATATAAAAAAGCTTATATAAAAGCATGTTATATTATCTCTTTTGCATAAGATAAACAGATATCTAATTGAAACCACTGCATAAAATGAACTCCCTTCCTTTATATATGAGAAACTACATGGTACATCCCAAAAGATATCACACACACTGGTGACCGGCACGTCCATTGCTGTGCTCCACTTAAATGGGCATTTATTCTAATGGCCCACAAGTCACTTCTGAAAATGGCTATAAACTCTACCCTGCTAGTCCATCGTGACTGACTAGGTCATTCTCTGGAACCTTCCCACMATCTCCTCTTATTCTTTAACTCAAACTTAAATCAAGACAAGAAATTAAAACTCCTCACTGATAAATAAATAAATAGGTATCTTGACTCTGTCCCTGTTTCTTAATTTACTTTTACTCATTTTGACTTCCTCAGTGACATTTCTTTGTCTTTCTCTATCCAAGTCTATCCACTCTATCCACTCTGTCTCCTACCAGCAATACTRCCTCAAATGTCCGAGTTTCTCTGTTCCACCAGCATAAATCATTCTCGTCTATTTGAGAATTATTTAAACTTCATGTATTTGGTAAACCCCAGATGCACTAAATTCATGCTCTACAATTGTAATTTCTGATAAAATCACCTTGAAGAACTGCTAAMATGTGCCAGTGTGTAAGCTGCAAAGAAACATCACTCTGTACTCATATCCATCAATCGGCCTCCTGCACACCATCTAATAACCCAACTTCATAGTCACTGAGAGTCCAAAATTATGACAAAGCAAAAGAATTTTGCTTATTGTGCTTCTTACCTGTGTGAAGTGGCTGCTACATGTTGGGAATAGCAAGTATATTTAATAACTGAAAATAATTGTATACCAAATTGAGAATGAAGAGAAACTCTGAAAGAGAATATTTTAAACTCTGGACCAAAGGTAGAGCTCTGATGAAGGGTTTTTTGCTTGTTTGTTTGTTGGTTTTAGCTATTCCCTTTCTCCGTCTAAAGGAATCAAATTTCCAGCTTTCCTTCTTTCCCAATTCAAATGCATACAAAGCAGATACAGGATCAATCCCTGATAGAACATTTACAAATTACACATTCTATGCTTACTGTCATCAATTTGTCCTTGAAGAACAAATTTCTGAATCGTTTATTAACTGGAAGAATGTGAGAATAATGAACAGGAATCTAACTCTGACAACTGACTTCTTTCTAAGCTGTGATGCCAGAAAAGCTCTTTTTAAGTTTTATCATTTTTCATGGTGTGAAGGTAAAGCCACACGAAACAGAAAATAATCTAGAGGAATAACAGTGTTTGAGTAATACTGAAAACAGAAGAGTGTCTCCTATCACACAGGATCTTACCTCACGGATCTGGCGAGCTGCATCTGTAGTAAGAAGTGCAGCTTCTACCTGCTTGGCTACAATCTTGCACGTGCTTTCTTGCATTATTTCTACAGCCTCTTGCCGTGCTTGAACCAGTTGTTGTAGTGACTCTGCATGGACCTGTGCAGAAAAAAACAGCTAAGCAAGCTCTTCACAATTCTCTAGCTAGCAAGTACAGTTTTATTTCTCACAATCTAAAAAAAAAAAAAGTTTGAAAATTGTTCCTTAAGGGCCTTTTTCAGATGCAATAAACACCTTCACTACTTCTATACGTTCAAAGTCTTCGCTATTTCTGTACGTTCACAGCTTCACATTAAGAATATTGAGAGGTTGGATTTATTTACAGCATTTTGTCTTTTATACATTCCACRTATTTTGAAGAGCAGCATTATCTGAGCTGCCTTCTGCCTTACCTCTTCCAGTTGCCTCTGGCTTTCTAAAGCTTCTTGTTCTGCCTTTAGTTTCAGAAGAGCCAAGTCCCGTTCATGGCGCTGCTGCTTTGCCTACAGATTAAGGAAATRAGTTTTAATATCAGAAGCTAAATGCAAAAATCCTTTCATCTCATCCTCTGTATGCAGCTACGTTTGAGAGAGAGAGATCTCCTCCAGTGGTGCCTCTTCTGCTAAAGTCAAGTTTTCAACCTACCTCCCGATTATCTCCCTTTTAAAATAGGCACATACCTCATCTGCTGCCACTTCAGTGTGGAAACAAAGATGATTTAGGAGATCAATTAATTCTACTTTAAGTTAGAACACAAAATCTTGTCAGAAGGAAATTTTGCCCCAAAATACCTTTTGCATTGAGTAAGACAAAAGATCATGCCTGAACAATTACACTGCACTGCATCAGGATCCAGCTCCAGACTTGCTAATTAGTTATGTTCTAGTTTTACTGAAGTGCCCAGCCACAATCGTGATTTCAGCTAATGGTGACATATTTTCCTATCCCACTATTTCTTCAACACCAGTAAGAAAAATAACACGAGACTGCAATCCAAACGAAATGACACCATCAGAGATCCATCTCCCATTAAGATTTCTCTGCATCTCTAACGAAACTAYTAGCTATCTAATCTGATTCACTTTCTTGCAAAATATAAAGCAGGAAGGTTAAGTCAAGGAAATACTTTCCCATTACCTTCAGAATCTGAGCCAAAGACACACTCTCCTGCTGGGCAAGCGATATGCCTCGTACTCTTTCCACATCCGAAAGCTGCTGCATCGACCCCTCAATAGCACTAAGGTAGTTCAGCTCTGCTGAGAAGCGATGCTGAAGCCCAGCAGGGGAGAAGCGCATACACCCTGAAGGGGAAGACTTAGTGGTCAGTCTCCACAGGCCTCGCTGCAACGAAGAGCAAATATACAACAAAACTACTCACCGCTTGCCGAAGCTGCCCCTGCTCCTGGTCTGCTCATTCCCAGACTCGGGTCAGAGAAGGTTGTGTGAGGTTTCAGCCCTGGAGCTGGACTTGGGGAGAAGCCAGCAGGTGACTTGGCTCTTTCCCCTGTTTTGCTTACTGAATCAAACTGCAGCAATTTTTGGGAGCCTGGAGATGGGGAAGAGCTTGGTGTCTTTGGGGATCTTCCCTTGTCTGAGAAGCTGACGACAAAACCAAGAAAAAGAAAGGACTCAGTACTCTCAAGTGCTGGCATTTGATAAGAGTTCAAAGGAATAATCTATTTCTTCTGCACATAAACACTAAAACAAGTCTATGCCACTAAAACAAGTCTATGCAAAAGGTCTGTTCTTTTACAGTTTACACAGGTTCAGTCTGCATTTAAGAAATGGTCTCATGACAATCTCATTTACAAGTTTTACACTTGTAACCCATGTTGAAACCAAGTTACTAGTGTCCTGTTTTCCCGCACAGTATTAAACATAGTTGGCATACAGATACAAATAATAACAGAAACAAAAGATAACAGATTATTTGCATCCGATTTGTTCCAATCCAAGAAAATCATTGCTGGATGTAGTAAAATGTGTGGCAGTAATAAATATGGGTAAGAAAAYCTCCCTCGTATAAAAAACACTGTTATTAGTGAAAAATAACACAAAATTTAGTTTCCACTTTATGAAACTTTCACTAAGAGAAAAGAGGGATCTGAGGTAAGCAGCTTGGTCCACAGTTTGGGGTCTTAAAAAGACATTTTGCTATACTTGGCACCTCTCAGTAGGTCAAAAGGAGCTTTTGAACTTAACATTGGATATCAGCACAGGTCGCTGAAGTAAGTCAACACCTTAGGATCATTCTATATCCATAAAGAATGAGGGAAAGACCATTTGCATTATTTGCTGTTTTTTGGGGAAGAAAATGAAAACGCAACTGAGCATATTTCACAACTGTGCATACACAAAGACATAACCATTTTTTGGATAATGCAGCACAGCACTACCAAGACTCAGTCCCAGACGGTTCACATTACCTCATCAGGGAGTGCGCAGACAAATTTTCTAATGTGCTATCAGTATCTGGGGCCTGCTCAAGATCCTGATTAGAAATTCTGTTACTAGATAAGGACCTCTTGGCCTGGTGGGATCCCCGCTCCAGTTCAGATGGCATTTTCTCTTCTTCCACTGGAAAGTGGTGAGATTTTCCATTGCAAGATTCCAATCCTAAAAATCAAAAAGAAAGACAAAGTTCATGTTTGGTATTCTACGTATGAATATTTTAGCCATCGGGAGCCACAAAACAAATAAGAAGACTACTTTTTTTTTCCATTTAATAATGTCTCTGAGTAAACCCAGTAAGAAAAAAAAAAATGCAACTCAGACAATCTCCTACAGAGATGAACTCAATCATATTCACTTGTAGAGATGCAGGATAAGATAACAAAATATCACTTTCATTTCTTAAATAATGAAAATCAGAATAAAGCCTACCTTTATTTTTAAGAGAATTTTAAGAAAGTAGTAACAAAGCATTGTGAATGCCTAATCTTACATTTCTCTCACAGATCTTAAAGCTATCTTTTCCCTTACGTTATTCATTATTTAAATATTAAGTGTCGYAAATCCCAATTTTCATCACTTTTTCGCAATATACAAGCTACCATAGAAGAGTATTTATTAATGTGTGCATGTAAATGTAAMCTCTGTGATCTAGAGATGAAGCAAGTAAGCCTGTCCCCTTTGTAAAGGTGGCCATAGCTCTGATTGCTCAAAAGCCTATTGGAATAAAGTTACTAATTGGTTAGAAGGCTGGTTAAAAAAGGAACATTTTTCAATAATGTTAATAACCTTCTGCCCATCTGTTTTTGGATGACTTGTTTACAATCAGAGACAAATTACGATAGACTTGAAAAAGAGAGAACACGGTAGCTCACCAGATTCACCCACTCAGTTGAAATAAGAGTTAACACCAAAAAGAGGGCAACTAGTCAGGGCTCTGTCCAGTCAAGTTTCAAATATATCTAAGGATGGAGATCTCAACCCTTCTGGGACTCTGTCCAATGTCTGACTACCTGCATTATGAATTTTTTTACCTACCTTTTGACTGGAATCTCTCCTGTTGTAGTTCTTGTTTACTGCCTCTTGTCTTATCCCTACCCATCTCCAAGACGGGCCTGGTTTCACATCTGGATTCTCCAGTCAGGTAGTTGAAGCAAACTCACTCACTCAAGGCTTTAATCCTATGCAGCGAGCTGCACCACTCTAGCCTGCACAGTGTCTGCCTCACTGCATCACAGAATCATGGAATCAGAATTTCAGTCACAAAAGTTCATTGGAAGTTTGCTACAGATTCCTTCTACAGAACTTCTGCTAAACGTTGGTCATCTAAGCCAGGACTGTGTCCAAACAGCTTTTGAGCATCTCCAAGGAAGGAGACTTCACAATCTCTCTGGGTAACTCGTTTCAGTGCTCTGTTATCCTCACAGTAARTAAGTTCTTCCTTATGTTTGGAGAGAACTTCTTGTGTTTCGGTTTGTGCTCACTGCCTCTTGTCCTGGCAGTGTCMCGGGCACTACTGAGAAGAGCCTGGCCCCATCATCTTTATGCTCTCTCTTTAGATACTTAAACACATTGAAAATCTCCCTCAGTTCTCACGGCTGAAGAGCCCTAGCTCTCTCAGCCTTTTCTTCATCATAGTAGTCCCCAATGCATTTGCTCCAGTAGCTCCATGTCCTTCTTGTACTGGGAGCCCAGAACTGGACACAGCACTCAAGATGTGGCTTTGCCAGGGCTGAGGGTGAGAACCACCTTTCTTGACTATTCCTCCTGCACCCCTGGATACCATTGGCCTCCCTGGCCAAAAGAGCATCCTGTTGGCTCARGGTCAATCTGTAGTCCACCAGGTTTCTTCAGAGAGCTGCTCTCCAGCAGGGCAGCCCTCAGGCTGTCCTGGTGCCTGGGGTTACTCCTCCCTACGTGTAGGACCCTGCACTTGTCTTTGTGGAAGTTTATGAGGTTCCTCTCTGCCCTTCTCCAGCCTGCCAAGGGCTCTCTGAATGGTAGCACAGTGCTCTGGTGCACCAGCCACTCCTCTCAGCTTTGTATCATCAGCCAACTTGCTGACYGTGAACTCAGTCCCTTCAGCCAGGTCACTGGTCCAAGACCCAGCACTGAACTCTAGAGGTCAACCTTGCTTTCTTACTGGGGAGTCCAAAATCAAAAATATCTCTCGAGATGTGGCCTCATCAGGGCTGAATGGAAATGGAACAACCACTTTATGTTGGCCTGCATTAGAAGCTGCTCACTTTAAGTCAGTTGTCATCACTACAAGGGCATACAGCTGACTCGCCTTCACTTTGACGTTCAGAAGAACGTTAGGACACTCAATGTCCACGTAAGGACTCTTTCATCGTAAACTGCCCTGCAGTATTCACTAATTTTGGCTGCAACACTGACTGGAGAAACTAAACAGCTTGTGCAATCAGAGAACAACTGCTGCAGACATGTTTGCTCCTTCCTTTTAAATGGGAAGTGACAGACATTTTTCAAAGCGTGTTAAAGAGCCAAAAAAATCCTCACATCAGTATGAGATTATGGTTTCTGGATAAGCAGAAAGACTGCAACTACTATGACAAAAAAAAAAAAAAAAAAGCCCAAATACTCTTCAAAACCGCAAACATCCTGCAGCTAAGTATTGCACTTACGTTTCTTTTTCCCTCTCCTTTTGGAGGAGGCAGATGTGCGAGAAGATGCTGCAGACCGCGGTCCCGATGAGTGTTGGGATGCAAGCTCTACAGAACGGGGCTTATGRGGAGACTTCCTATGGGAAATTTCTTCCTGAATGCTTGAATTGCTGCTGCCAGCAACACTGAAAAGCAATACACGAAGAGTGATTAACTAAATATGTCCAATTTCCATTGYTTCATCAAAACTAAGAGAGATGGACTAYAGCTACACCAAATAAGTCTTATTATAAAGCCATCATCAAAAGTATTGATTTTGAAATTAAAAATGGTAACAAGACATTAAGAGGTTTGACCAAAAATTCAACATACTGAAATGTACTTCTTATACTATAAGGTAATAGGAGATGGATAATAAACAACCTTCCAGATGCAAWCTAATGGTTATTTGATTACAGACTTGGACTAAACCAAAACGACTCCAAAAACTTGCCTTTCATTTTATTTTTTTTTTTTACAGGCTATGGACACCTGATAATATCAATAAATTTACAGAAAGATGAATGGTTTTCAGTAAAGAGTTCTAAAATAATTAAAAAAGGGGAGTCCGGGTAATGCATTATATCYGGGGTAACACAAACAAACATCAAAAGCTTAACCAGAAAGAAAGCTTTTTTTGCAGCTTATTCAACACACAAGAACGGTTTTTATCTTCCTCTCTTCTGAAGTAAAAATATAAAACAAACACAATATCTGTGGCATACAAAATATGGAAATATATCTCATTCAAAAAAGTAGTTTTAAGAAATTTAATAAGCTGCTAACAAATTGGAAACTGTAGGATTTATAGTCATCTTAGTTAAGAGAAAAGGTTTTAAAACTCCCTACATAAACTTTACATGCCCATTACAAAGCACTTACTGAAACCTTAACCACAATTCCAGAGTTTTTACAATGTATCAAGTACTGAAGTTATTATTTTAACACTTACAGATCTTATTCCTTTCATGATTTTGCAAAGACTAACCAATGGGGATTTTAACAGCTACAAAGGTTGGAGAAGTGATTTTCACCTGATTACAAAGCTACCTGCCACATTAATTAACCCAAAACACCTATCAAGAGCAACTGATACTAGCCTTTGTTTCCAAGCCATGCTGCTTGATACTTTAAGGGTCACCAGTATGATGCAGCAGAACAGAAAATATGTCCAACAGAAACAAGCRTTGCATTAATTCTCTCAGAAACTCTGGATGCTGATTTCTGCGAGGAGGCTGAAATACAGTTACCTGAGGTCCTGTGCAATCTTTTTGTCTGTCAAAGTGCTACTTCCCTGCGACGAGGCAAAATCRTCTTCGTAAGAAACGATGCTCTCTGGAGGGCTGACTGCAGGGAGCAACGGCCGCAGCAGGGCGCACGCTCCACTCGGCCTCTCATCAAACACTGCAATGTGGTCAAAGAGAGGRAAAAGACCAAAAAAAAAAAAATTAGATGCAATTTGCACCAAACAGATGGTAAAGTTGTAGAAATTAAAAAATTTCCAATCACTCTGAGTTACAAAGATTTTTTGAAATGAAAACAGCAGCAGAATATTAGTACAGACCTCCTATGCCAGCTTTAATATCGAATAACAAGCACAGCCTTCCTCATCTGTGAAAGAGTAGAGGCTACTTCATTAGCTAAGCTAACAAACATATTTTTGAACTGCATGGCACTTGAAAGTAGAACTTTCTGCAGAAAACRTAAATGAAGTCATCTTTATAAAAAAATAAATTAATAACATGAACACAGGAAGCCTAATCTCAACTATTTTGTGTTTCTGTGATATAAATTAACTTATTGAAAAAGACTCCTTCTCAAAACGTGGAATTCAAGGCAAGAGAAACAGTATTCATAAAATGAAGAAATAATTCTGAATAAAAAAGAAAAGCAAACAAAACATCCTGTATCAAATAAAACATTAAAATGAGCAATTAATGCTTGAAATGTGCTCATTTAAGGAAGAAATATTTCCTATTGATTTACCAAAACCTTATCCTCTCAAAAATCAAATAGCTGCTGAAGCTACTGAAGTTCACGAGCAGTGAACACCTCACACAGTTCACAGAGGCATTATCAAATAACTCATATGAATAAAAACGCAAAGGAAAAGCACTCAGCTTTCAGCCACAGCAAAAGTTACACGCAGGTTCAGCACAAACTGTGTGTAAAGAGATTCAGGACACACATAAATTTCATCCTTCTGCCTTAAATGAAAGACAAGATGGGATGTTATTGCAGATGATTGGGAATTCTTACAGAGTAGGAAGCTGCATGCTCTCAAAAACAGGGTCTCTTCTTCCTAGTGGCTCCATTTATCCCCACAATAACAAAAAAGAAACTGAAAGTCAAAAATGGCAGGACTACATCTCACCAAAAATGTCTTTCAGGTATTTCTTTAAACACTTACAAGCTAGAAGCCAGGAAGATGGTCTGAAAGGTGCTAGACTGAGAAAAAAAAAAATACAAGGATGGTATTTGTACAGAGTTGAGGTAAACACAACGTGGAGAGACACAGTTAAGTGACTTTAGGACAAGAAAAGTCTTGGCAGATTTCTACAAATGAAATCATATGGGGAAGCCAGGCATCACAAAAACACCAATTTCCAAACCCAACCTGGGCAATTTAGTATAAAACTTTGGATAACTGTAAATTTTGCATTCATATCTGAGTAACTGCAGGTTAACTTAATACATTTAATKTGCATTAAATGTTTTATTATTCTAGATGTATCACAGACATAGAACTGGCCCAGATGTACCAATTCCATTTTTATCATTAATAGTGCCCAAAAAATGGGGCAGCTACCAATATGGAATTATATACAGCAGTCTAACATAAAAATAATCTTCCTCCAAAAGAAGGGATTTTCTTTTTAGGGAAAAAAAAAGGAAAAAAAAATCAGGGAATCATTCATTATTCAAGAGTTATGTAAAGAAGTCTTATGTAGATTTATTCCCCATCTGTGATTCATGACAGCTTGTTCTTTTTCACTCCCATTTCTTCTCCTTACCTTTTCCGTGAAGCTGGTAACTTTTTGCAAAGATGTTGATGACGCTGTGGGGACTTCCCTTCGCCAGCTCCTCCCATGGCCCCTTGCTATGCGAGCCACTTGTGTGAGTGAAAAGTGGCGAATATTTTCCTGCTTCTTTCTGAAACTCTTTAATGGGCTCAAAAGCACTTCTCTCCCGAACACAGAAGTCCTTCTCTTTTAATGCCTCCAGCATCTCCAGGGGGGATTGYGTGGGTCGGCCTCCCTCCTCTTCCGAGAGGCTTTCCTCACTCAAGAGGGGCCCTTCACTGATGGAGTCTATGCTGGACTCGTAAGGAATTACTGTTTTGTTCTGACCATAAGCCTGRCTTTCGTGCCCTGGGGAGTCAGTTTGTCTCTTGGAGAAATGTCCCAGTATCCCTTCATGTCTGTTAGCAGCAGGGGATCTCATCCCAAGGCTGACTGCAGCAGTATGAGGCCTGATCACCTCAGGGAGCTTTTTAAATTCACTAAGGTTGTTTACTCCAGGAAGGTTATCATCAAAGGCTGTATGAGACACACAGGTGCCCAGCATTTTTTGAATTCTRGCTGAAAAAGCATCTTCATTTTCCTCTCTCACAGGAGGACTTACAGCCTTTGCCCAGCGCCCATCATCCTGGTTCTCTTGTAGGAATTCACGGTCCAAGTTCCACATGGTGCCATAATTGATGCCAGCTCCAGCCAACTTCTTGGCTTCACTTTCAATCCTGCTAGAAAGGGAAGCAGCCGTAGCTTTCAGAGCTTCAATGCGATCCAGTTTGCTCTTATATTGGTTAGCAGTAGGTTTTCCTAAGAGATTTTGCTGCGTAACAGATGAATTCAGGAATGGCTGCGACGCCAACGTCAACGAYGCTGCTGCTGCAGCGTGGCTTCTGCTGCCTGTCAACAGGGTGTCACACTCCTTTGACAAAAGGCCCATCTGCTCCAGACTCCAGTTTTGAGAGCAAGGGCCTCCATTTGAACCCACATGAGCTTGAGAGCGAGCGCACTGGACTCTTGGGCTTAATCTGTCAGGCTGCACCCAGGCAGGCTCCATCAAATCACTTCTGAAATGAAGAGTCAATGTTTAAGTTGGTGATTTTATGAGTACTGTGATTTCAGGTTAAGCTTATTTTCTAGAAAGAATTAATTTGAGGAAGAATTATCAAGAGGGGGAGAAAATGAGAGAGGAAACAGTTGCAGGATGTTAAAGACAAGTATTAYAAAAGACAGAGCAACTCCAAAGTTCAAGTGCTGCTTACATTATATAGTGTGAAGTAGAGTTGTAACAAGCTGAATATTCTTAATCATCAGCAAAAAGCTTTTTTTGTTCCCTACAAGCTTCCTGACTTGAAAAGTGAGGAGACTTCCCCTTCCCTCTATCCCATCACATAGGATTTCTTGGTTGCAGACTGCCCCCTCTGCTTGTACCCAGACCATGTCTCACTGCAGCTATTACTTACGGCAGCCACCAAGCACAGTCAGAAGAAGGGAGAATTGGAAATACAAGCATGTTTAAAACACTGTAAGACAACCTTCTTATTTACAGATAGCTCCAATTACCATAAAAGGATCTCTGTAAATGGATAGCTCTTCCAGAGATGCAGACTTGGAGCTTCCTTTGCTAATATCACTTGCATGGCATCCAACTAACAAGAAACCTGCAATATTCCACACAAAATCTTCTTCTTCTACTTACTATGAGGCTTTCCAAATAATGCATGGAGCATTGTTTAATCAAGGCTCTCCCCTATTATTTCTAGCTACACTTACTTTAACATTAGGATGTCAAACTAACAAAACTTAGGCTGCTAAACCATAAGATGCTATGTTGTACATAATTCTAGATAATCTTCCTAGTCAAACTTTTCTAGAATAGAAAGAGGTCTTGTTGAATTTAGACAAATCAAAACTGACTTTCTAAGTAAGGACAATCAAAGATGACATTGATTTAATTTTCTTATTAAAAATGAATGCACATAYGCACAACTGGAAAAACAAGGGTGTGCAAGAAACCTTAGGATTATTACTTTCATAAACTGTTTGTCTATGCACACCAGCTTACAGTCGGAGGAACTCTGATGAGACACTGCACAATTAAAAATGGGATGAGTGGTAAAACAGGAATAGTTGTAGGAATAGTGGTAAAACAGGAACAGAGTAGTTGAAGCAAAAGCACGGGTATTTGGTACTTTAAGGAGAGTAATTAGAGACCTGATTCAAGCTAGGAGATGAGATGGAAAAAAAAAACCAAGAAAATCAAGCAAGAAAAACTGTCAGATATTTACATGATCAGTGGCTATTGCCTGCTGGCCATGGCAAAGGAAATATAGTCTCCTGATATGAAATGCACAACTCTGAGGTCAACAAATATTACACAGTAACAGTCATTCACTTTTTAGACTCATTAAATACCAGCAACCTACATTTTCATATACTTTCCCGCATCAGTTTCCTCCTCATTGAGCAAAGCAATAGAAGTGTCATAAAGACAATTATATAGTACATGAACCTACGAGTAGAGCTGCACTATTTCCCCCCTCTCTAATGGCCCATAACTGCTCACCTGAGCAGCGGCTGCTGAGGCTCCGAGAGCGACATGTCACTACTTGAAGATGCACTGGGAGGACGCTCCTGAGCCTTGTTTTCTTTGTCAGATTCTCCAGATGGCTGATAAGCAGGTCGGGCCTAAAAATGAAGGTAACAAGAAGAATACATTTTCAAAAGTCTGTAGGAGTTTTAGCAGCTCATGTCTCATAATTACGTAGTATTGCATTTTTCCCACCACACACAGACTTAAAAACACAAGACAGATTCAACTTTACTTGTACACTAAGCTGGTTCAAGTGAACACATCAAAAAATATCAATCTTCTTTCATATTTAGCTTCTGACTAGCAAAGTTACTTAACTCTCTGCTGATTCAGTGTGGCTAAATGACAGTAACCTTTAATTCAAAGCCCTTAATTCATGGTCTGACTTACATTTACAATTTCTTAAGGACCAACCACTGCGGCTGATTGTTAGTTAATATTCTGAACTCTGTTTCTATTTATAACTGTGTTTCTATTCATAATCGAAAGATGATTTCCACTCGCATTCCTGGCAGGCACTGCTGTCCTGAGCAGCAGTCACTAGCAGGAGGTCTGGACCAAAGCCACTGTATCTTATAGGCAAAAGCTGCTTTCAGAGCTTGCTTTMTGCCCTGTCTCCTGACTGCATCAGGAGAAATCATGACCTTCCTAAACATATGACYGAGGCAAAGAGCTGCCACCCACGCGTCAGCTGTACCTGTGTTTCCTGCACTGTGGGCACCTGAGCTGGCTCTTCCAGAAACGTCCGTTCCAGCAGTAGCTTCGAATAAGTTTCCTGTAACCGTATGGCTGCAGAATGCTCACGAGGTGGCACATTCTTTACTTTAGTAAAAGCCTCCTTCTGCTTTCTGTAGAGCTCTTGGAGTCTTTTGTTTTTCTGTTCTGTTGCCTCCTTTTGTGCTTTCTTCTCTTCGTTCTGCTTCTTCTTCCTCTCTTCTTGCTGCCTAATAATGTACTGACGAACCTCATCCGTATCGTAGTGTCGTTTCTTGGAGGTCACCTGTGGCTCCTCGCTCGGAGCTAGCTTGTCTGGTTTCCTTTTGGTCGGACTGTGGCTCCTGGCATTTTGTGCAGGCAAAACACATTTCTGATTCTGCTTTTCCACATCTTTCTCTTGCTTTGTACTCATGGAATCCAACTGCAAGTCATCAAGAATTCCACGTATCTCCACTGGCAGGAAGTCCTTATTTAAGGAAGTGTGATCTCCTTGGTTATCATCTGGACGCGAAGATTCCCGTTTCTTCACGTTAGTCTCAGACCGCACTTTACTCCTTGACCTTTCAGAACTTCTGGAAGAGGTTTTGTGGGTAACATCCAGCCTAGAATCTGAACCTGTCCTTCCAATACGGCCTGTTAAAAATAATGAGTCAAATATTTCAAGTAAAAATCAAATTTGGAAAATACACGTCATACTGAAACAGCTGAAAAAATGAGGATGGAAGAGGGATGAGATACACAGCAGTGATGAGAAACTGTCAAAAAGGCTGCAGTCATGATGGAGATTGATAAATACAGCCAAAAAAAATGACATCTTTGTTAAAACTCAGCTGCATATTTACTACAAATGAAAACTTTACCAGATTTAACTCTGCATGCAACTTCACAGACCTTTAAACAGCCTCAGACAGATACTTTTGACTTCTTAACTCAGTTGGCACARTATTATATGAATAATACGTATAACAAATATGAAGTACATCTGCAAAATTCATACGGCCTGTGGACCATTTACCTTTTTCCACTAGCCTCAAGAGGCAAACTCAGACTATATCACAGAATCACGGAATGGTTAAGGTTGGAAGGGACCTCTAGAGATCATCTAGTCCAACCCCCCTGCTCGAGCAGGGCACCTAGAGCACGTGGCACAGGGTGGCATCCAAGTGAGTTTWGAAGACCCCCAGAGAAGGAGACTCCACAGCCTCGGTGAGCAGCCTGTCCCAGGGCTCTGTCACCCTCACAGTAAAGAAGTTCTTCCTCATATGAATGAGATGTATATGTATGCAATCCATTCTTTTCCAACTCCGTTTCCAAACTTTTCCTGAGTTCTTGAGCACCTGTATAGCAGCATGCGTATGTATCATGTGTCAAGTTGGGCAGTGCACACTTCCCACGACACCAAAAAAGTTTCCTATCCACGCAGGCAGAAAATTATGCATCACAACTATAAACTTAGATAACTTCTCTTGTCCTCCTCCTCTCTTGCTACCCTCCCTCAAAAGTAAATGTTAAAAATCGGRGTTATGAAGTAAATAAAACGGATTACATCCTATTTCAGGAGTCTGCTTAACTTTACAGACATGCACATTTATACAATAAAACAAAAAAAAAGAAACAAGTACAGTRACAAAGTACAACTTACCAGATTTTGTAGCTCTCTCCCGTCCTGTTCTGTCACTAGATACAGCTCTTCTGTCTGCTTCTAGTCGGGGGGCTGGACCTAGTATCTTTTTTACCAGCTTTTGTCCTTCCCGCCAAGAAGATGCACTTATTACATAGTTACCACCTGCAAGACAAAAAAGTCACGAGCTAGATGGGCACAGAAAGCAAGATAGGTATGTATTGCAACTGTTACCCACTGCTACCTACAGCAAGAGCCCCGGTTTAGCTCTGCATGAGCGGTACAGCTGCAGCTACAGAGCAGTTACGCAGCGGTGATGCACCATGAAGATGCTCCACAGCTGAATCACAGAAGCATGAGATGTGCTGCGTGTCCACACATGACACAATGCAAAAATTCAAAATATCTTGTAGTCTATTAATGCCCTACAAAATCTGAAGAAAATAAAAGGCTTATATAGGTCTAAACTTTGTAGGTTGTTACTGGAGGAAGAGGTGAAATATTTATCGATTATTGAAAAGCAGCTCTATCTGCACAGGAAAATGTCAAGAAAGAACAAAAGCAAAGGCAGGGCATTAAACCAGACTTATCTTTGCATTCAGAGAATGCAAACCAAATTTCTAGAAAGAACTTTTAAACAGACAATCCTAAAGACAAGAGTCTCATGAGGATGTAACAACACCAAGCAGCAATTGTCCTAAGCAACTCTACTGCAATGTCCTCTAACTGGGATTTCTGCATCCAGAAAAAAAAAAGCTGAGCTATTACCCTACTCGCTGATACTTAAATCAGGAGCAGGCTGCCCTGCAGTATCATTTGATCTGATGAAATTAAATGATCAATCAATTAAATGATGACAACTGGCACAATGGCATCTTAACCAAACATTGGTTAGATTAAATACTGAACTCAACAAACTCACTTTTCTTCCCACTGCCTTTCAATACCATTAATTATGTTTTGAAAAACTCCTCTTGAAGTGCTTTGGAAAAAAATCATCACAAAAATAAAGCATGAATTATCTAGTTCAGATCACTTTTTTTTCCCCTTAATAAAAATAGCTTGAATACATCCAGTTCATATTAAACCACTATTTCAGTGTTTATTTTTGCCAGCATTGCTTTAACAAACAAGTCCATGCACTACATGAACACAACATAGRAAGTAGGAAACAAAAAGGGACTGTAATCCAGGGCTCTGTAGGACTTAAAGTGGAATCCAGCACAGCAGATCAACAGTGCTTTAACACTCCAGGTCCTCACTCTTCTCCTCCTCCTTTTTCTTAACCAGAGCAGGGAAATGTTCACTAAGAAGCCTGTAATCCATTATTTCATCCATTTACTGCCAAGTACTTTCTGCTTGGACTGTAAACTATCCAAACATTTTACAACTCTCTCACTGGGAACACGTTACTACTACAAGCCTCTTTTGTAGAAAGATGCCTCAGGCAAAGGGGTTCTCTGCCTAACTCGCTCTTCTCAGATACTCCCGGGCTCCTTCAAAAAGGCAGTGGAAAAACYCATCTTCTATTTCAAGGCAGCTGCCAGAACTAAAATGAGCTAAGGGAGCAGAACAYGAGCTGTGCCTATTTATACTCTTGGCTGCGTCGAGCAATTTCYTACTGGTAGGGCTGGAGGAGGATGGACCATCCCTGACGAGCCACSGAGTCAGAGCTGCTGCTTCTTTCTCTTTTCGGGATTTCCGGGCATCATTCTCCCCACATTTAGTGCCCTAGTGCAGAGCAGCCAGTGCCACTGAAACATGAAACAGGCTCTGGGCTCCTCTCTCATTAGTGACTGTCACAAATTTCTAAAAGCTAGCTTAGTATCATTCTTTAAATATTAATTGATCAGCACAGGAAGTAGCAAATTCAAACATTTAKTTCCAGTTTCAGGTGCTAGTAATGATCACAACGTGGTGTTTAAATACCACAGAAATACCACAAGATGGTATTTACACACTGCTTCAGTATTTACAGCATGTACAAATGCATTGTAATAATTTATTGTTTTTTCAAAGCACCTTTTTTGCTTATAGGCTTTCTTTAACAAAAATAGATATTCACTGGTTATGCCTCACTGTAGATAAGGAGAAATATATGTCCTTTAAAGGTGCAAGACATGACTACCTTGACATACCTTGCAGGTATTCAAAGAAAAAAAATATCCTCAGTGTGACTGCTCTCTTAACTGCTTACTTCATTTGAAAACTGAAAGCAGATAGGAAAAAAAGGTGGAATTCCTCCCATTTCTTCCGTTACTCACAATATAAAGGATTACACAACTAAACCCCTAAGGAGCAGTCAGAAAATCCTATGGTACAGTTATAATTTCACTTTCTACTATAAAGAACTGCTCTACAGTAACCCATCCATACCAAACATAGAGTGGATGTTTAAGACAGCTGCAAAAATTAAAATAAGAATTCTTCATTAGTAAAGAATCGAAGAAGAACTCAAAAACATTATTTTCATTTAATCCCACACCCATTTCTTCAGAGCAAATTCATCTCTAAAGTGTATAAAACAGCTTTCCCACCCTAGGAGTAGTGTTTGTCACCTTGTCTGGATTCTGGACTTGGCAATCGTGTCAGTTTTTGAACTTTCCGTACTGGTCTGGTTGCTTTTTTCTCTTTGTTTCTCTCACTAGGTCTTTCTTTCACCGTTGAATCCTCTGAAAACAAGAGAACTGTTAAGTGATATTCCATGGGAAAGAACAAACATGTAAAGGCAAGTTTGCTTCAACGTTTATCTTGGAGAAGCAGAGCTCAGAAATGCAACAAAAAAAAAATCACTCATTCTCCCGGATCAGACAGTGAGACCAATTACCTTTGTGTTAAGCATTTTAAGATGCTCCCTGGAGCTTCAAAGCTCAAAAATACGTAATAATACTACCCTATAATAATTTGGGGTGGTATACTGTTTTTTTTCCCCTAAGACATTATAACACTCTGAACTAAGCACTGTTTACCTGCCCACCAGAACACAGCAAAGCCACAGACAACAGTCATAAGAAATCTTTACAAAGTTCCTCTTCACTTTTCCCAGTTTGACAGGAAAAACTGCTGGTTCCCTTCTATTAAAGGYGTTGCGTTTTCCAGTATTAACCTTCCCCAAGGAGACCTGGTTGCTTCACTCCTCGGACAGGGGCTGCTGCCTCCCTGTGACTGCGTGAGGGCGCATCCACCCGCTCCTTCCAGGCGGAGCGGGGAAGTGAACACGCGGGCGCTCCGCTCCCTGCGGGACGCGGCCCGGAAGGCGCCCAGCGAAGCAGAATTCTTCTTTATCACTGAGCTCTGCCTAACAACACAACCAGGCTTCGGAGCTACCAGGAACGCTGACTAAAGGCAAAGCTGACAGATTTGAAACCTCGCTATTTAGATGGCAATACTAACTTGGACAGATCCTAATTTCAGCTGAACCCACCTAATGGATGTCCACAGAGAAAGTAAGACATTGGGGTATGGGAATGGGTTTTTAAAGAGTCCRTTATACTCTTTACATTATTTCCTCACAATTTTTCCAGTCATCTTTCACCTGCCAACCAATGCAAGGCAGATGGATTTGATACATGAGCTCTAAGAAGCAGAGGCTTCAGTGACTGTTTGCAGTCTCTTCACCTCCTGCCTTGGCCAACAGGCTCTCCACTGTAAGACCCCACAAGCTGCTTCCTCCTGAGTCTATTCACATTACAGCAGTTTTATTCTAGGTGGGTCAGTCCTAAGTATGGGACTCGCCTAGAGTCCAACCTAGAGTGCCAGTCCTGGCACTGTTACTGCCATAACTTTGGTTATAAAGTCACTGTCATTACAATGGGCATAGGGATAGGCACATGGCTGAGCACCCACACAGCTCATTGCTTTTGTTGACAGAAGTCCTCTGAAAACACAACCTAAATGCCTAATTGGACACATAAGACTCTCACATTTGGATTTCTATGCAGAGCTCATGAGTAATTCATACTAAGTTTGTCAAAACTAAAAAGATATGCTAATGTAACCTAGAAATTTTGAGAAATGTGGCATAAATTCATGGATTGGTGTTGAATATATGCACAACAATTTTATTGAAAAAGAAGTGGCTGCCCTTTCTCAACTTCTGAGTGGTTCCTGAAAAACTCCTCAGTGCCCTGACAAGCTGTACAAGCGAAAGAAAACCGAAGTCTGATCATTTCCACACCAGCTACTAGCCACTGTCTTAAATATGTTTTGACTAAATGAGAAGTTATTTTTGCTACACAAGAAGCATCCTCTTAAGCTGTAAAGCTAGAGGTCCTCAAAGAATTTTATTTTCTAAGCCCTTCCTTTTCATTCCTCTGATCTCCCTCYTCCCCTCAAGTCGGTCAGTCAAAAGCAATTCAATCTTACAGCACTTCACTGTAAGCAGTCTAGCAAATTAAACAGCACACTTGGGCACCCAACCCTAGGCTAGCTAGAGAAAAGAGCTGTCAGTGATAGAACAGCTTTCCATAGCTGAAAATGAACAAAGATGGGGTTTTTGCCTTATAGTCTTAAGCATCCAAAATACCCATGCTGTTAAATGAGCTCATTGCCTAAAAAAAAAAAAAAAAATCACTTTTTTTTTCCCTGTCCCCTCCCCGAAGTCGCACAATAACTGTGCTACAGCAGTTAATTACCTCTGTAAAACAGAAATCTCACTTTTTGGAGGACACCAATTCCTCTGAAAGAAACACAATGCTCAATGCAGCTGAACTCCACGGTATGTATTATTACCACCCGACTACCACCATTACTACCACCATTAGCTACCTATATATCCCCATATATAATCATTTTTTAATAAAGAAATGGGAGAGAAGATTTTTTTCTTTTTAGTGTTCAGCCAGTTACATCTCTTGTGGACAGAAGGTAAAACATATTTAACTCTCATTTCTTCTATTTTTTAGTTCCGTGACTTTGTACCAAATAAATTTATCTGCGTCTTAGAGAAAAGTCTGCATGGCCTAATAAATTCAGCCTGTATCTCACCCGTTAACTGCAGTGCTATATCTCTATACAACTCCTGGCTAATATGAAATTCTTCTTCATGCCAGACCTTTCCATCTGGAGTACGAATCTTTGTTTCGGCAGGATTGAAACCTGAAAATAAACAATTTAAGAGTTTAAAACAACTCTGCAAAACATACAGAAAGCTTTTTTTGGGGGTGGTGTAAGGGAACTGACAAGCAAAAACACCTACTTTACTTTGTGAAAATGAAACAGGAAAAAAAAAAATACTATACCAGCCTGACAAGAGCTGAAGAACAGACTGGACGAAGGGAAGAACTACAGAGTGCAAGACAATTTTCCAGTACACACAATGCTACTAAATTCTACGAACATAAAAAGACAAAAAAAAAAGTATCGGAGTAAATATAAACAGTAATCTAGAGATTTCTTTTTATAGCAATTTGTGAGAAAGGAARGGAAGAATTCCAAAAGAAGTCATACTTTTGCAAAATCACAAATTTCTCCTCTTGTTCATTTCCGTGAGCATATGATCCTATCCACTGCTGTACTGCCCACACTCTGCTATGAGTCACTTCCATATTTTGACATATTGCTCAACAAGTTGAACTCTGCTCCTTCTCCACGTGTAACTAACAGCCAAATATTCTGTACCCCCGTACGTACCTTTGTATGCTGGAGCAGCAGGTGCAGCTGCCACTTTCCTGACCTTGGGAGTCACTGCATTCTCTGTATTTGTGATGACAACGGGCTGCTCAGCATGTCCCAAATGCTGCCCTCTGCCACCCAGCTCTTCAGATTGCTCCCACTGCTTCCGAATGCGCTCCTTCAGCTTCTCCAATTTCGCATCATGCTGCCGCCGTTTCAAAATTTCCAGTCTGTGAGCACTGGAGGTGCTGGTGGCAGAAGGGGAAGATGCTGCCACTTGAAACCCTTTCAGTTCAGTGTCCTGGGATGCATTTCTCACAGGGGTTTTAGTGCTCCTCTCCTCTCTGGAGCCACTATTTTTTTCTTCTTCCAATCTAGGAGGTGTTGCAACCTTAAAAAATACCTCATTATTCTGCAAGGCATCAATTGCTGGTCGGTCATTCAAATACCTAACAACAGTCTCATCTGCAGCAGAGGAACCTGGGCTTTCAAAGTCTCTGCTGTGTAGATCCCGTTCATCTCTGTCATATATCATAYGAGTTGCTAGTTCAGTCTTCCCTTCAGCTTCACTGAAGTCCAAACTAGACAAAAGTCGCTTGGCCTCTACATGGCTGGAACTCTGGTAAGATGCAGAACCAAATGCATCCCTGATGTAAATAAAGGAGGGAAGAAAAAAAAGAAAAAAAAAAGAAAAATAAAAGGTCAACATCAGAAACAAAAGTGTAGGAACTTGCAACCTAGCAATTATTACCACCCACTACTTAAAAGAACAGCTTCTTAGGCTCACTCTTCACTGCACAGGTAAGTTCTTTCAGAGTTTGAATGCAAACAATGCAGATATGACAAATCCGAGAAAGCTCTTTATTCAAAACTGCACTAAAACACCCCCTGTCTTATATTTGAGCACTAAAACCACAAGAAGCATTGCAATGAATTTAAAGCTGAGTGCTCAGAAGCTTAGTAAGTATCACTAAGCATTTTTTTGCCATCATCTTCCCTACTCTTTTTTTTTTTCAGAGCAATAAATATTAATTACATATGGAATTTTGTAATATCAAATAAAGAAAAGATATTTTTGCTAGGACAAATCTTCTCATTCAATATATTTTACATACTTATCTATGCAGAAATATTAATTGTAGTCCTTCATTGAGAACACAACAAATTGGCAAGGCAAAAACTGAATAGTTAGAAAGACTACTTGCTTAGAAAGTAAAATCTGGATAGACAGCCACCCAAACACATGGGTACTAAAGGGAGAACAACAAGGATTGCTGTGAATTCCATTTGGGAAGGATGATGCAAGGTGGAGAACCAAGGGTGCTCAGAACTTTTGCAGCTTTAAGAGAAAAAAAACAACTCAGGAACATTTAAATAAAAGGAAACAAAACCTGAGACTTCTCTCTTGCTAAAGAAGACCACACACATCTTGTTTGCTATGCACATATAGCACAATTACGCCAAACACACTGTCAGGACAAAAATCTATTTAATATTTTTACTAAAGAGGGACTGGATATGGGAGAACTCTGCATCTAAGCTACTTGGTTTAATTCTTTTGCAAGCATTTTTACAGAACTCACTTAAGCCACATCGTAATACTGTAACCGGGACACCATCTACCTTTTTTCCTTAGTAGCACACATTTGACAATGATTACTACACAACATGACAAGCAACACTATAAAAGCTGAGCTTTCATTAAGTATCTATTACAGGACGAGTACCACATTAATGTAGCAGTTCTGATCTTAATCCCAAATTTATCCCCAGACCTGTAATCAAATTGTTCTTTTTAACATAATGGCACAATCTAKCAGCTCCCATTTCGTCCTTTTAAGTCTGTTAAAGTGAGTCAATGTAATTTAAAACAGAGGACATTTAAACAGACTGCACAACAGAGCTGTTCAATTAATAACCCAGGCAAACTTTACATGATAGAGTCAAATCAAGCTCACATGAAGAACGGAAGGAAAAGAATCCAAACTTACAGCTAACAAGAAATCAAGTCTACACCAAGCATCCATGCATTTCATTTCTACTTTGACTGAGGTGCAAGAATATCAGATTTTTAATGGATATGTAGAGGAATGTAAAAAATACCACTGTTTCAACTCCACTCTAATCAGTCAGCAGCAATTTGCCYTTACTGAGAGCACATTTCTAACAATATGCTAGTGTATGATAGAATCCATCCAGAACCCATTGCCAACCCAATCTAGCTATTATYGGGATAAAGCCTGTGTGAAAAACATACACTGCTGATGGAACACAAGGAGTGAAGAAGTTGTGGTAGAAGTCCCCTGTGCTCTGATATCACAGCAATTCTAATCAGTTTAATTCTGCAAAATGTCCTTAAAAAGAAGCAAACAAACAAAAAAAATACCACTTTTGAGGCATCTTCCATTCTCCACGGTMCTAAAAGAGGCTAAATAAAACAGACTGTTTTTCTCCATTCCTCACCCCCACCGTGTTCCATGGCCTGTATGATTCTCTATCGTGATCCAGCTGTTCTTGCTCATTTGATGACCTAGTTTTGGGGCTTCTCCGATACTAACATGCATAATGAAARCTGAATGCATCCTCAGTAATGCTCTTGCTCTGCACTGCCTTATGATAATACATTTCAGAATTCATGATGAAGAACAGATCAAACAAAGCTGAAAAAAATCACGAGGAAATATTCTTTTCAGTTGTTGTTACTGAAGCTAAATACCTAAGAAATCCAGCAGCTCACAGACACCACAGTCACGTCAACTTGATGATTCAGCCTCTTTTTATACAGCCTCAACCTCAAATTCTTATTCACTGTACCAAAAATATAATTTGTAACATTTTTGAAAAGGAAAGCACTTTCATCCACACCATATACTGCCAATGTATGTAGGTAAGGTAAGCTTTTCAGGTTTTGGTAGTAGCTTAATTCTGGTCTTAGCATATTTTTCTCTGGCAGTCGATTCTCCCAGCACTAACCTGTACGAAGCCAGTGGCTCACGAAATTCGACACGGTTGCTTTTCTTCACGTTGCTTTCAAGAGTGGTTGCTCGAAGAGGGCTGCGTGAGGACTTCTCCTTGCTTGACTTATTTTGGCCAGAGGAGCGGGAAGCTGAAGCAGAAACCAAAGAATTTGAATTCCTAGAATTCCTAGACTTACCTCTCTAGGAAGAGCTCTGAATAATCAAGCCCCACGATGGCAGGATTCAAGATTCAAAATAGCAGGAGCAAGGTAGTAAATGTTTGAAAAAGCGGTAATATTTCTARAGAGACAGCAAGGGTTAAACCTTAAGCAGAAGTAATTGAGTAAGCTATGTAAGCTGACTGCAGGGCCACTAGAGGTGACTCTGGTTTTGTCCAATGCCAAACTATTCTAAAGCCCTTGAAGTCAGCATGATAGTTTCTTATAAGCAAATATTCTTCTACAATGAAATTATGAACACAACAGTTGGCTGCATCCTCTAGGGTGTAACAGTTGACAAGCATCAGAATGTATGAATTGTTACTGCAACATAACACAGGCACATACAGGTGTTACCCTAAAGGCCACAAATAAAGGGGATCAGAGTAGTKTGAACAGTGGTCACTAACACACAGGCACTAGCTAGAAGACTTTGGCAAGGACATCATTTTTTTCCCCCATTCTAAGGGAAGGAGAAGTGAGTTTCTCCTGGGCATTAGACCTTCATGAATAAAGATCATTTACTGGAGACAACCTGGATGGAGAGGGACAGGGCTTTACCCTGTCTTACATTCCATATCTTAAATAATACATACCCTTACGGCCTATTTTCCTGCTAGTGCTAGCACAGGGCTTCTTGGCATCCATTATGGAATCAAATACAGCTGTGCTGGTGGGAACAATTTCCAGCTTGTTCTCTATATGACGTAGCTAGAAATCAAAGGTAACAAAAATTAAAAAACTTAGCAATTTTTAAGTTAAAATTATTTATTTTTAATATGGTAAGATTTTCCTCATTTTCATAAAGAAAGAAACTATAAGTGAAAGCAACTTCTGAATGCTGTTATTGCAAAACAGTCTTATGACCAGAAATTACATGAGATTAAAAAGATTAGTTTAAAAAGATTACCTTAGATTTTGCTGCATAGTTGTATTTGCATAAGTAGGGTTTTGTGAAGAAAGGAATACTAACATGCTATTCACAGTCTTAATGCCTGGCCTCAATGAAATATTAACTCCACTTGAAATAAATTCTATAACATTCCTCTCAAAATGGAGTGTGATATAGGTTTCCACATGTACAACCCCACACTGACATTCAGCTATTTCATCAAGAGAGACAAAGCTGCATTAAAAAAGGCCAAATTTCCAAGAAAAAGCAGTCCGGCTTCACTGACACCAATATTCAGAAAATATAGTAGATTATCATAAACAGTGAAGTTAAGTTCTCACAGAAATGCAACAAACCATTGCTCAAAGTAACATGCAAGAATGTGAAATACACTGGCACAGAGGCAATCTCTGACTGTATTAGGTAGGTAAAGGAGGTTTTTTTTTTTTTCCAGAAAAACAAGAACTCAACACACTTTCTTAAATAGAAGTTATGGTAATGTTATACTCAAGACTTTGTAGGTATTACTATACTCAAGACTGAACTTACAGTGGCAAAACAATACTGTACTGCGTGTAAAAACACAAACACCAAAATGTCCAACATCTAAGCAGTCCAGCAATTTCCCTATTTTCCACTTACCTACAGGTCAAACTACTGAGCACAATAATACTTTGGTTAAAATGATTATAGACACTAAGTGAAAAGAGGAGGGGGGGGTAGGGGAAAAAAAAAAAAAAGAAAAAGAAAAAGAAATTACTTACAGCTGCCTTAGTCTGAGAAAAAGTAGCCCATGCTGCAGTTAGATCTTAGAGTAGAAAGACATGAACAAGTTTCTCATTATTATGTGGAAAATGAAAGAAAAAAATGGCTTCAAAACAACTTTCAATGGCTCACTAATCAAATTCTTCTCATTACTCAATTCCAGCTTGTATCTCTTCTCTGTGATAAGCTGTTATCAGTCAAGATTCATTTTAACAAAACAATAAACTATTAAATAACAATGTAATGTGTTCATGGAATTAGGTTAAGTGCACTATTACACTTGAAGCCAAATCTGCCCCATATTTTACAAGATATTCAGAAGATAAYATAAAAAGCTGGTTATCTACCACAACACAAATATCTTGTATTTTTCCATTATACTATAGTTTAGACTACTGTCATTTTTTTATTTTCCTTTTCAGCAAACTGAGCGTGAAGACGTGGAAGAGGCTACTCAGATGCCAGACTTGGAGCATGTGAACTTTGAATGCTAATGTTTTTGAACTGTACCCATTACAAACAAAATAGAAGCAATGTTAGCAAAAGGCTAGCAGGAGGCTCTAATCCTCTTCAGCCTTTTAACCTAAACAGAGAGCACAATCTAGTTCAGTAGTATGCTGTAGCACTTCCATTTAAAAATATTTACTTACTCAGGCCTGCCTCCATTCTTAAGAAAAAAATACAGACTTGAAGATTTACAGACACAGTATCCAAAACATTAATGTGAACCAAGGCCATAGAGATGAATAGTACTAGACTGTTCTAAAAAAAAAGAAATATCTTCCTTGCTGTAAGTTGTTAATTTGTATTTGCAACAATACAAAGAAAGAGGAGAGATAAGGAAATAACACATAAACAACTTTGCTGCGTCTTTGAGAGATGGTGTTTGAACCAAACATGTACAAAGCACCTCAGTTTCAGATTTTTATAATTAGAAAAATAAAATTGAAAAGAAAATAGAAGCTTCGTGGGCCACAATCTGGAACAATGTGCTTTTAGAGGTAAAATATGCATCTATTTTTTAAAACAGCTTCCGGTGTCAAGTTTTGTCATCATTTGTGTCACATGYCTGATCTTGAACCACAGACTGCTGACATGTGACAAGTGCTCTACAGACTAGAGCTGTCTTCATCTCAAGGACGTTCTATGCTTCTTTTTTCCTTTTCTTTCCTAAATTACAGGGCAATCATGGCTGCAAGAAGCTAAAAGGCTTCCTCCATCCCAGGGAGGCAAAAAATGCTGTTATTCATCACGAGGGCCATGCACTGCTGCTATTCTGGATCTGGAGCTCTTGAGCCCTTCGCTTTGGAGTTGCACTAGAGACTCAGACACTTGGTTCAAGAGGTGCCTGTTCCCAGTTTCTATCCCTGATCCTCCTCCAAGCCATTAAAAAAAAGTAGACTTGTAATTTCTAATGTARATCTGCAAGTACTCTGAAGATCAGAGTATGTAACTGCTGTCCTTGCAGAAAAGAAGCCAAACATCATATGGTCTTTGCTTCCAAATTTTATCAGTTAAAAGTTAGAAAACTTTATCTGTTAAAATTCCCCCAAAATTTCAAAAAAAAAAAAACCCTTTTTTTTTTAAACACAAAAACACAAAGCAACAAAACAGACCAAACCATTACCTCTGGTGGAATCCTTGGTTTGGTTATGCCTCGGATTTTGTAAAGGCACCTCATTTGACTTGTTGCTCCACATCGTGCCAGTTTATCTACACATAAACAAAAAATATTCACATAGCAATCAAAGCAGTACGAAGCAAGAGCAAATCTCCACATGCCCAAGACAGAATAACCTTGATCACTATGAAGAATTTTCACTTTCACATGATGGTTTCAAACTCCCTTCATGAACAAAACCAGCACCAGACTACAAGTGTTTACAGACTGCAGATGCACAGAAATGGGATTTTGGTTTTATTCTTTTATTTTTTCTGGTTACAAAAAGCAGAGTGAATTTGATAAAAGGAAACCCAGAGGCCATGTGCGTCAAACCTTAATAGTAAGTATTCTGGTGAGTCTGAAGAAAAGAACTACACAGAAATGCYGTACATGAAGGGAAAATGGGTACCTATAGCAGGAAAACTGGAACCTGTAGCAGTTCCGAGAAAATATCAAATCCGGACAGTAACTTTGTACTTGCTACCTGTCTCTGCTAGATGCTGCTGCGAAGGAACCCCACAGCAAGACACTAAAACCAGAGAAAAAACAAACAAACAAACAAACAAACGCTGTAGTTGTTCTCCTGTCAATGCCAAAAGGAAGACGCCAACTGGAATGGCTCTGAGGAACAAACCAGGCAATCGCTCTCACCAAGGGAATTTTTGGTAAGGGCCGAAAAAGCTCTTAGGTCAAGAAGGATAACTTTACAGGAGGGAAAAATAAACAAACAAACAGGTAAATGGTTATTTCTTACTTTTTTGTTACCGAAAATGGTGTGAACTAGTAAGATACCTCGCAGAAGCACAATACAAGAAGTAATACTAGGCATGTGGTCAAAGAAATTTAAGAGTTCACAGTGTAACCAAGAAGTTCAGTTAGTGAGTACTTCTGTAAGCTCCCGGGCAAGGCCTCTTATCTGGTGGCTGACTTTGCTGTCTTGACAACGAACTGAGGACATGTTATTACAGATAGTAAAATTAAATGACCACAGAATGACTAATATTTATTTTGGTAAGTCCTGGGCTCCTAAAAGAGTCCTAAGAGTGCTTTTTCTCTTCTCTCACACAACCCCAGATACGTTTTTCCTTGTTTTCTTAAGATGACCAGAATTTCCGAAAATCTCTCCCATCCACTTCCCTAAATAGCCTGCCATGTAAAGGGTATTCACATAGAGGGGTCACTCTTCCCAAAGGTGACTTAACTACCACTCCACATGACCTACTGAAGCAATAAGTCATTGCCTATATATTTTGTGAGGAGGATTTCATCATTTTAAAGACATGCACAATGATCGACAGTGAAGCCTGAACCACTTTTTCAGATATAGCTCCTACTTATCTAAGCTATCCCGCCAAATTAACTTGCTATTCCAAGAGAGACCACTAAATGAAAACAGGTCTTCACCAGACCTTCAGTTCTGCCTTTTTTAAAAGGAATCACACAAAATAAATGCGCCGAAGCCTTAAGAATGATGCRAGAACCTATATATATGTATATGTAGTCATGGAAACATTCAGAGGCACATACACTGAAGTCCATAACAGAACAGAAATTCAAGAATGAAGATTTTTTTTTTTTTTACTTTATTTTTGGTTTAAATATCCAGATTTACGCGCAGGGAGCCAGACGAAGTGACAGATATCTGCTTTTGCAGGATAGGTGTCGCACAGCTCATTCGTGCTGAACTGCAACATTTGGTCTKGCACATTTGTGCTCTAAGTGTTACCCTGTACTGTCCTACCTTGGAAATACTCTTGAGTAAAGTTCTCCATCACTGCAGTAAAAAGTGTATTAGAAAAGTAGAAAGGAATTGTTAACGATCTTTAAATGCTGGTGGTCACCAACAGGAAACAACAAGGTTTCAGTTCAAAAGTATGTTTCCCTCTTCCATAAGCAGCAATCCAGCCTCTGCTCTGCCAGGGAAGAGCCGGGAAGCGATCACAAAGCAACCTGCGGCATTCATTCCCCTAACGAATGTCTCCAGTGCCAGCCCTGGGTGTACAGGAAGATTCTGGCTAGTTTTAGTGCAGCTCGCTGAGATCCACTGAGCAGTTTTGCTTATTCAGGTTGCTGCTGCTTGGGGCGAGGGGGGAAGAAGAAAAAGAAAAAAAAAAGAAAAAAAAAAAGAAAAAAAAGAAAGTACTGGGGTCTTTTGAGCTGTCTGCAGTTTTAGGGGGCAAACACTGTGTCAGTTTTCATTTGCAATTTAATCTACATGAGTATGAGGCTTTGGGGTSCAAGTTTTGTGCCTTCCCTCTCCCTCCCTCCACTTTTCAAGAGGTTTAGCTTACAAAATATGCTCTTTTTCARTGCACTTGTGCACAAGCAAGCACATGCTATATTTTATACATTTTCCAAGTGTCTTTCAAATAACATAAACCTAATCTCTATTTACACAGATGCAAAAGCCAAAGGTTTTGTATAAAGATAAATTTCTGCAAGAGATAAATCATCACCACCACCAGAAATACCGGGTGGCATCTAAATTCCTAAGATCTGCCAGTCTTGGCTCTACAAGGAGAAAGTAAGTGTCCCCTCAAAGGCAAWCCTAGAATCCGACAGGCTGAACAAAATTAAATGCGAAAAATTCAAGTTGAGTCTTGACACATGTGTGTGCTAAATCTCTCCACATTTTGGAGGAGGGGAAAAAAAAAAAAAAAGACATTAACACCATTAACACTAAGTTAAAAAATCATGATGGYAAAAAGTCTTTAGAATATCAACTACTGTATTGCTATTATAGCAGKGGAACTTCAGTTCTTAAAAATCAAAATCCATGCGTAACTAAAACTTTCATCAAACTAAACCAGTTTAAGACTATCACTTAGACTTCCATTTCTCAAAGATGAAAATATTTCAAGACACCACAAAAAGGCCTCACTACAGAAGCAAACTTCGGAAAGCCRAGTTTTACTTGCTACGATTTTGCAAGAAAACATTAGAAAGTCCAGTACTCCTCAGCTGCCTGCCTTCCCAAGCCTTCTAAATAAAGCTTAAAATAACATTCTGAGGGAGAACAAAAAACTTCTCGGCTCACAATCCCAATAACAGTCAGGTAGTTTGGCTTAGGGCAGGTACACAGTTAACACCATTCTTCTTTTCTCAAATCAGTCTCAATAAAGGAATAAGTGTTCAGATTCCACTGAACATATCCTTGATGAGAAAATTCTCTAGGAAGAGTCTCTTTTTCTTTTTCCTCTCCTAAATGATGTTTCACTTTTTCCTGACCATGTGGTGGCAGTGGATATTCACCACTTGCCACCCACCCTCTCCTCCTGTCTACGTGGAACGTGAGCCACAAAGAATGAGGTTACACAAAATCTACACGTGTATGTGTAAACACTCAAGCTATTTTAAATAACTGCTGCAAAGGAGTGCTGCCCACTCTCAGGAACACACATTTTGCCTGATAACATCACCTCCTAAGAGGCGAGGAGGGAGGCAAAGAGGAGCTTCACACGGGAAACGCAGAACATCCAGTAGCCACCAGATGTTTCCATCTAAGAAGAGAGTGATGCCAAAAGGTTATGCAGGTTGCATGAGGCTGCAAGGATGTTAAAAGTTTGAGAAAAAGGTGGCGAGTTACCACTCTCGATCTCCTCTTTGTTTGATCATTGACTGCACACACTAGACACGCTGCACAGGTTCACCGAATTCTTGGATGCCTAGTCGGGGGTGAGTGGGTAAGACGTAAAAACAGTTTGGGTCTCACATTTTCTCACATTTTAATCCCACAACAAGCACCTGCCTCATTCTTTACCTGGTTGTCCTGTGAAAAGCAGTTCACAAAAAGTACAGCAGAAGGGGCATCGATGAGACCAGCAGCACCTCATGAAGAGGGTTCAGAGGAGGCAGAAAGTACATGCAAGAGGTTGCCACAGTTATTTTCACTGACATTCAGTAGTTATATGGAAAAAAAAAAAAAAAGGATGTAAAGGAAACAGTATTTCTCAAGATTGGTTTGCTTTCTCACCTTATTTCCCCTGTGCAATAAGCTCTCAAACAACAATAACTTACAGGGTGACARTTTCAGAGGTAAACATTTTGAAAGGAAATTATTATCCAAAATCCAAGTCCAACTCCAATGCTCCACAAACTGCTACTTGGTGCTTTTCTGCCCTATTATCACTGGGTTTGCAATCTCTGCCTTGCTTCTCCAARGAGATTTTTGTTGAAAAGCTGGTGATATTTATTCTCATGTCTTTTGTCACACTGCACTACAAAGTCYATGCTTTCAAATTCACTGGAGTCATTTTAGTCAGTATTATATTGATATTATACATAAATATTATATAGAATATATTATATATAAAAATATAATACTTTAGTCAGTATTAAATTAGTACTATTTAACTTTGAAATACTTCCCTGATCCAGACTACACTGCAGTCCATGAGCAAAAGTGGATATAATCACAATATATGCAATTACGTAGAGCTGACACATAAGAAAAACGCAAAAATGAAACACCAAAAATATGCAATGAGCTTCCAAGCGTTAGCCTTTCTGAATGAGCACGATTTTAGGTACCATTCGGTATTTTGTCTCGAGGCACACACTGCAGGTACACCAAGGCATCCCATATGACAATCGTGCCTTTTCCGTCTGAGCTCAACACCCAAAAATGTTGATAGGAATATTAAGGTTTTTTTTTTTTAAAAAAAGTACTATATGCATTTGCTGAAAGAAAAGCAGTAAAGAATTTCAAAGCACACGTCACTCTCTCTGAATGTAAAAAGGAAGTCAAATTGCAGTCACACCTTCATAGTTTGTCAGAAAATACATTTGAAAAATTAGAAACTTGCTTCATGAGCTCTAAGWTGAAATCACTGACATCAGCCAACTACTAAATTTGTGTCATTTCTTTCTATACATGAGGCATTACAGAATCTCTTTCTCTCCAACAGGATAGTATTTACAGAGAATGGATATTTACAATGCGTTTCTGCTCTGAGTAGATATGGCAGCTTGCAGAAGTGCTCCYTGCTTCATCACCAATACTATAAAGGCAACGACTTGATATAAAAAATGGATTAG